TGCTTGCGCAATAGGACGATATTATAGGTTGAAAGTTCTTGATTTAGGTTTACATGGAAACAAAAAGTTAAGGGAAAAAACTTAAGGGAAATTAAAGGGAAAGTAGTAGTTTAAGGGTAAGTAGTCTTTCTTTAATTTTGAGCATACTCACTTGAACAAACGGAATGGCTCGTACACCAGGTAAATTCCTAAGTGTGGGTAGCGTATCAAGTGCAGCCGACAGTAGTGACAATCGCAGAGCGTGCAACTTGCGAGCCTCATTTTCAGCCTCGCTGGCTCGTGAAGTTGATGCCACCGGCTGAGATGACGTGGACGGACCAGCTGTATGATGATACACAATATTATTGTAACATAATTAATAATTCAGTGTTATACGACATACAATGCAAAATGGAAATTTAATAAATTAACATGAAAATGTTGTTTCAATACAATACGACAAAATCTCACCGCAAAAGCAAGCTGAATGATAGCATAGCATTGGTTATTACACACAATTTTATTTTTGAAAACTCTAATAAGGCTACTGAAGCAAGGAACTGAAATAAACGTACTAACTTACAGTAGTAAGTTCATACGTTTATTTCAGTTCCTTGCTGATTTTGTTAAAAGCGGAAATATGAATCATATAGACATACATGTATTCAGCGTATATATAATATTAATATATAATCTAAAATTAATACCATATAAGGCTTCAATTTCAAATAAATACAATGTCGGAAAAAGCAGCCAAACCATTAATATTTTTTTATGCAGGGCTAGTAAAGCACTAAACACTATTACGGAATATACTAGCCTGCGATGGCTACAGGCACGGCGATTGCATTGGTAGCAGACACCGCTCCTAGAGGAGCTGACACCATTTCTCCTACAACATTTTAGACCTCTATTTATAGACAAACTAAGCTTATTTAAAAATAAAAGCATTTTCTATATACTAATATTTGCTTACATGATAAAAATAATAAAAAACAGCCATTATGATAATACCTTTTCAGTGACAATTATAGAGTGTGCAATGGAACCATTATTAAAATAAAATTATATTGTTTAGATATTAAAATGCAAAAAGCAAATGCGTAATATTTGAAAAGCAATAGCAATTCGCTCATTAGAGCAACCGCCTAACTCTCTAGACTTGATATCGGTTCGTGTTGTTACTTTGACATGTCGTTTGATGGATAAATTTGGGATAAATTACTATGTCGGTATAGAATATGAAAGAAAAATATGAAAGAAAAAAAAAAAACAAAATAAAAAATCTCGATTTTCATATGGCAATATAAATTGTCTACTATTGACAACAGTAAAGTCAAAGCATAAATTGGTGTGAGTATTTGTGAAAATGCCCAAAAAGTCATTGCTATCTTAAGCAAGAAATATAATGTTTATAACAAAATTTGTGTAAAGAAGCTAGGAAATTTTTTGATTAAAATTTTTAAATTGTATTTATGAATTGACCGATAACTAGCAGTGAAGAGTCCTGACACTACATTTTTTAAAGAATTAATTCGTAAATATTCTTTGGCGTGTCGACTACTGCAACGATATAACAATATTTTTCTACACCGGGTAAAAATAGTAACCGTGAAAAAAAAGAAAATACACCAAAACAGTTTTGATTTAGATGTGTAAGAGTAACAGCAGTTGCAATTCAATACAGATCAGCAATAAAGAAATACATAAAGAAAAGCTTCTTTTATTTATTTGTGTTAGATACCGAGTCAGGTAATATATTATTGTTTTTTTTTCTAGGTCAGGTGTGGTCCCGTCGAATATTAGATGTTGGATATAGTGTACAAGTGTATGTTTGTGCACTATATTATATCTCACGTAGATGGCAGATATGGTCAGGGGTAAGTTCAATGCTATGAGGCAGTTATTGATAAGTGTTTATTTTAGTAAAAATATTACAAGTATCAAAACATCTTTTTCCTTTTTCCTCAAAGTTGTCAATTACAAATTGGTATTTCCAGATTTGCCATCAGATTCTGGTACACTTATATATAACATTGCTATCGAATCCATAATCATCAATTTCATATTCATTTTCAATGGTGTGTCGTCCACTGCGAAGTTGCATTTAAAGAAAAACAGCATTAGCGTTCAATACAAAATATAAGGTAATTCTTATGTTTTCAAGCACACTATCATTAATGAAACAACTTTTAAATAGTTTCATTGCGTTCATATTTACTTTTATTCTTATAAGACTCCTTGTGTGAACACGAAACGTCAATAAAATTATATACAAAAGCGATCAAAACCGTTTAAAAGTTATTTCATTATGATAATTGTTGTGATAGATTAAAGCTACTCACCGTAAGCGCTGCTACGTCCAGATACTCCGCCGATGCTATCATTGCTCTCTGAGCCAGCAGAGCCTGGAGCTTCATTGGGTGATGTACGAAGGGTGCTTCCATCCGTAGCTGCAGTACTACCCTCATCGTCAGATCTGGGTAATGGTAAAAGGTCATTTTCAATTATCAAAGAATGACCCTTCGAAAAAATTTTCGAATGTATAATATCTGGAATCAATCTCAAGCCCTAAAATAGTACAAGTTATGTTAAAAATGCATTTCAGAGGCATAAACATTTTCCATAATATCATTCTTTATGGAATGGAATAGAACAAATATGACGGTGCGACCGTTCTGGACGCTATGTGCATAGGGCGCCGATTACACTCAAACACCGATCGCCTATGAATAAAAATTTCTCATCCAAAGAAAACACAAAAATAAATATCAATGTAGAAATAATTATCAATGAAAGCCAAGTTAGCTTAATTTTTATGAAGGAGGGGGAAGGGGTCACAATGGGATCTTGCATTATTTATTAAACATTTTAAACATTTTTGCATTTTAATATCTACTTCTTGTCATACTATAGGGAGATAATAAAACTATTAACTCTTGCACATGACTCTTGCAAAGTCTTTTGTCAACGTATGATAGCAAAGTTATTAAATCTTTCAAATGACATCGTTTAAACTCAAAATAGTGGTTTTTCACAATCAACAATAAGTTTTAGAGCTCACCCATTAGGTGAGTGGGCGTTGTCGGGCGCGGGTGGCGGCGGCGCGGTCGGCGCGGGCGCACGTCGCGGCTGCTCCTGTAGCGATAAAGCTATAGCAAGCTCCACCATTGTCTCGTCATCTGCGTCCGGAGGGATATCCAGCAACGCCTCCAGACCTAAACCACGTAATAACTACTATGAGCCCAATGTCTAACAGTTCAGTCTAATTAGAAAACGAGAGCACTTTTGAAAACTACGTGGGTAAGAACTTTAATCATTTATTTTTCCTCTAAAACTTGGAATACCCAGAAACTAGTATCATCAAAATAACAAACGTCAAAAAAATAAAAACAATAAATATATAAAAACCTTTAAAACCTATGAAAAACAGATTAATCTAAAAAGAAGAACGGTTCAGACGCCGCTTACAACAAATTTTGTTTTGAGTGAAGAATAAAAGTACTGTCTTTGTATATCTTGATCCAAATAAAAAAGGAATAATTAACGAAATATTTATTGATTTAAGGTAAACCGCAATACTAGTAAGATTCCATCAATATTTTATTTTGTTGTAATAATCATAAATGACACTTGAGTAATAAGAAATACTACTACAGATAATAACTCGTCGACTAACCTCCATCTGGTGCGAGCAGCACCATCGGTTCTAGTGAATCGTCCACCTCCATAAACTGGTTCTCCTGAGGCTCTTCACGGGCAGCACTGAGATCTGTCTCAGACACAGCCGCTTCTGTGATAGAGCTCGTAGGTTGCGCTGTATTTACCGATGATCCAGCCCCTATTAATTTCAGATTCATTGATATCATAAAGTCATTATCATATATACGGGTTTAACTAATAAATTTACTTATAACTAACCTGGTGTATTGGGAGGCGAGGGGATGTACACGCGACGACGTTTAACTCTGGGCCGTAAAACTCGCATCATTGCCGCTTTAGTACCAAAACTTATGCTTTGGTCCTCAGCCAACAACAGCGACAGGTATATTTGATTACCGAATTCGATCTGTAGTAAAATTTCATAATGAAACAACATTAGCAATTTTAAGATCATCTTGTCCTCTTACCCGAGGATAAACAACAAGAAATAACTTTTTAACAATAAAAAGTAATTTCTTGTTGTATATCCATATTAATATATACACCCAAGATCTACGACTAGTGGTTACCACATAAGCAATGACTATCATTAAAAAAAATCGCTGTAAATCACGCCGTGCTACGTTGCTGTATACACTCACACATTCAGGATCGGTGTGCAGTTGGAACGCATGCAGGGTATCAGCTAGCGCGTGCAGCGTATGCTCCACGTGCCGCAGCCCGTACTGAAGGATACCCGGCGGGCCCTGAGCACTGCGGCAACCGGCCAATCTCCAAAGTACACTTGTCAATAACGCAATCAAGTGCGGCTCGCGGTCCTCCTCCTGCTGACGATCGGTCTTCCACAAAACTGACCAGTCACCTGAACGAAAATCTTCACTCAGATTTTCCATATAGATAGACACATTTAATATATTAATAGTGTACATGAGTTCAGAATCTCAATGAAGTCTGTAAAATAAAATGTAACCATAATCCTTGATATCTAAATCGACGACATACTAACGGCCAAAAAGTGGGATTTGTGTTTAAACTGTCTAAGAATAAAACATATCAACGTCCCATTAATAATGATAAAAGTAGAAAAGATATAATTTGTTGCGTGAGTACTGTACTAGCTCTTTTGTATTTTTATAAGAAAATGTCATTGAACGCGGCCATTTTTTCGTGCATCATGTTCTAGGACTAGGGGAGATTGGAGTTGACACGTTAAGCTAAACAAGTATGTATATCTCGTTTTAACAACAGGTAGCCTTTTTGCAAGGTTTGCGAAGATGGAAAGGAGTGGACTTTTTTTTAAATAAATTGACTCGTGCGCAATTATATTGTTATTGGGCTTCCAAAGATTCATCTAGTCAATTTTGTCATAATAAAGTGTACCCAAAACGTTTAGGATATCTATCAGTAGGCACAAAAGTCAACGTACGAAATTCGTCCTGTTCACCGAGAGAGCTATACCATCTCAACGAACTTACCATTCGCTGGTTTCGGTGGCGTGGGTGCTGTGTATGAAACGAGGTGATTAGGCCTCGCGACCGCTACACCTCGTGCCAGTAATACAAGACGGAAGAATGCCTCCGGGTCGATATTGCGAGGATCCGATACGTCACGGAGCTCCTTCAGCGATGTGCACACGTACTTCAAGATTGCTTGATCCTGGCATTTAGATGTTAAATCCAATCATTAACATCAAAGTGTTTCAATAAAAATTAATTTACAAATACGCGTATACAGGTAAGTTTTCATCAGTGGACAAATTTGAATTTTAAATTTGTTATTGTAAATGATAATTTAAAAAACCTTTATATTATCCAGAAGTGTTCGATCGGTGCATCGATCGGGGCGGACATTGGCTTTTTATTACTACTATTGTAACTACTTCTCATCAGATAAATTTATGAAAAAGTGAATAATAATAATTTTTAATAACTTTTGCTGTACAAGGTTCATAAGTTTTAAAAGTCAAAGGGATAAAATAAGCCGATAATATAATGTGTTTTGCACAAAATATCTTAGAAATCAATATAACTTAAACTATAACCCATTTAATATCTGAAAAACTTTCTAGAACACATACCTTGTACTGGTGGTAATGCGTATGATGCAACGCCCGCAGTAAGCACTGCGCACGCGCATGCAAATGCGCACTGGCAGGTGCGCACAGTAGCTTCCTAGCGGCTTCAGCTCCTCCATCTGCTACACCTACTGCAGCGCTTGCAGAGGCACCAGCACCTGCGCCTAGTTCTAGCGCTTCGAGCGCTGCACACGCGAGTCGCTCCAAGGAACTAGGCTTCCATGCACCGCTGCCGCCATCTGCTTCCTATTAAAAAAATGTTCCAAACATTGATATGTGTTTGGTAACAATGACATTACAAATACTAATCATTATTGCATTACCTGTGCTATTTTACTGGACGATGGACAAGCTGAAGGATCTTCATTTTCGTCTGGCCATCCAAATTGTTCTTTGTTTTTGCCATATATCTATACCAGAACACAACATTTTATAACCAGTCACAGTCATATAATAGAAAAGAGTATTTGATATTTTATAAAGTAGATATTATTACCTTTACGGAATCAACCATAGTGACACCGTCTGGATCTTGAGATGGCCCAAAGTTAATGACCAATTTCTTATCAGATTGTAAAGATTCTTCTCGTGTTAGGGGGATATCGAACCATCGGTTTCGTAGTACAACAGTTTGAATTGACCTTCCGTAAACCTAAATACAAAGTAAATGACATAATATAATTGTAAATGAGTAAAAAATATAGATATTACTCAAGCTGTTTAATTATACCTCTACATAAGACGGCGTACGGGCGATGTCTTGACTGCCTAGCAGTACTCTAATTCCACAGATGACCATGTTGGGGTCAGAATTCACGACTTCCATAGTGAATCCGCTCATTTTCGTAGACACCACATACAATCCTATAAAAATATTTATTATATTACTCAACACAGTAGCGAAGGACTCCATTTTATCTCATTAATAGACTGGGCGCAACAAAGCTCGTTTCATATGTCTGATGTGTGCAAGATTTAAAGTTATTTATGTCTTCAAATAAGCACCTGTAGTGTTGAGTCTATGTTTGATCTGCGCGGTATTGTACACCTGTAAGAGATCGTTGCCTCCGAACTCTATGTCTGTCATCGCTGCGCAATGTTCGAAGAAGTCGATTGGAAACTGTGGTGCTCCGCTAGCGTTCGATTTCGTTGCAGACTGAGAACAAACCCGTTATTGCTTAGAGTAGAACAAACAAATATTTGTTTAGGTTAAATTTCGCCACGCATTTTTATCAGGTGATTAACCAAACACTTATTCTATCAAGTTGTTCCGTACTCCGGGAAGTATTTAAGCCGTTGATCCTGGCTTCAAATGCAGACTTTGGTATCAACCAATCTGTGATGGGTTGTGGGTATTTTTTTCCCAGCAGTGGTAGTATTGGTAAGCTGATGATGATAAATACAAATATTTCAGTACTAGCTTTCCACCAGCGGTATCGCCCACGTGATCCCTAGAGAACCATTTCGTGTGATAAAAATTTATCTAATATTAATTTTGAGTGCTAATAACAACCCCTATGCCAAATTTGAGACTCCTAACACTTGTAGTGACGAAGTTCGTTAATACCCATTAAACCCAACCCGCAGTGGTGATGGCGCATTCTCCGTGTAACGGTGTGCTGTACCACCGTTTATTTTCCTAGGTTTCAACATGCAAACTTTTTGTCTTTGATATTCAACATCATTTCGTTTTAAAATTTTGACTAATCAAATATACTCTTTATGGATGTCAGTTCATAAAAAAAATCTTCTGTTGTGAATATGTAAATCATATAAATTTAAAAATATTAATATTATAATTATGAAGATAAGTGTCTAAAATAAAATTATAAATTAAATTGAATAAATTATATCCTGAAACTTGGACGATCCAAGTTTTTATCAAGAAACTCAAAAAGGGTTTCTTTACTTTATCCTTTATACAATAAATAAATCCATTCTCAATCTAGACAGCCTTTCATTAATTGGCCCAAGCATCGAACCCGTCACATCCCTATTCGATTCGATTCTATTCCATCAATAAGGAAGGCCTAAACCCCAGCTGTGGGGACATTATTTGGCTGGTGATGATACATCAAAATGTAAGTTACCTGTTGTGCCTTGCCCTTGGCGTGATGTGTGAGCAGCCTCGGCCGCCGCCTGGGCGCGTGCGTGGGCTGTATGGCCGGCGACAGCCAGTAGGCGGTGTGTTCAGCGCTTGCCGCGTACATACGCAGGCTGCCGTCCTCGCACAGTAATATTAGAGTGCTCTTCTGTTCACCGCCGCCTCCGCACCAGTGACGGACAGCCACCATGTCGGTGATCTTAGCCTTAGCTGGCACGACCTAAGGATAAGTTGATGAATTTATATATTATTTAGTAGTAAATAAAACGCAACTTTAGTAGCAACTTCATAATTTTTTTATGAATTGTAATATTTTGATTGATTGTAACATGTATTACTATAATTGATATTGTTAAATTTGGCACAATTTTATGTTTTTATGAAATATTTTAAGTTAAGTCATTGTAATACCTACATAATTTTTTGCATAATATTGAAGATGGCTAAATAGGTCAAAGCTCTCACTGAAAGTTTAATATCGTGACTGTATATATAACCCTATTTATTGCAAATAAAGACATTATTATTATTATTATTTCCCGAGCAACCATTATGGATCATACAACCGTTTTTATGAGTTTATATTAAAGAAGTGTTAGAGTAGTATGATAATAGTACACTCACTAAAGAAAGTGGTCTACCAGTTTGACTGAAGTTTCTCTGTAATCGAATTGTCTCTAAGGTTGAATTTTCTAACGAAGAGCTTTAGAAATCTCTTGTACATATTAGATTACGATGGGACCGACATGCTTCAAAATCCCTAATAGGTATGGGGACCATAAGAAGTTTCTGCCCGGCTAAAAAAAGTTGCAGATCCAGGACTGCTGTCTGGATAAGACCAGTCATCTCCAGCTGCTGGATTAGCGTGACTTTCTAACCTTGATCTCCTGCAGGTATATGTTGGTGGGCGTGAGCATGAGCACTACTGGGTTGTTGGAGGCCTGCATGACGGCGGTGACGAGGCCAGGGTGGCCGGCCACCTCCGCCCACTGGCACAGAGACTGAGCGCCGCCCTGTTTGCCGCGACCGCCACCCTCCTTCTGGGACGACGACGACGATACCGTTATCATCGCTGTACCTGACAATTATGTACCGCATTAATTAATACACACGGAAGATTTTTAAAGACCTTTGAAGACTTTAACATGAATTTAGCGAGTCAATACTCGATATCGAACACGTAACTAACCTAACAGGACTAACGAATATTTCAAGCACTTATTACTTTTTCGCTACTACAGAGCGTATTTTCATCAATGTTCAGGCAATCCACCCAAACAGCCGAAAGAAATATTACTACAAATATTTATATATGATATTTTTTAAAACATTTTTATTGGATATATTTCATGTATATTTCATGTATAAAATAAAAATATTCAAAAAAATTGTCTGATTCTGATGCTCTACTTAATAATCTAGTTTTCGGAAAGTCTAAACTTATCTAAAGAATGACCGAGGAAAGAGCCTATTACCTTTTACGCTGTCTTCGACAGTGTTGAGTGGTGCTAGAAAGCTTTTTCCTTGAGCATACGAGAAGAATAACATTTTGAGAGTATGCGAGTAGTAGATGGAGACACCGCCACCACCGACTAATCCAGCTACATCCTGTTGGAATATTATTTTATTTAACCAGAACATATGTTATATGTAGATACTAATTTTATCAAACTCATTTTCGACTTACCTGTATTTCTGGATGCAAAACTTCAAGTGTGTTAGTTACGTAAAAGGTGCCGAGAGTGGCTCGCGATTCTTCGCTCATTGGCTGCCAGTATATGTGGCCCGCTGAGCTCATGCATAGCATATGCATAACACTATCTTGATTCACAAATGTTACGTCGCGCACCTGAATCAATACATTATATTTTATTATATAACTAATACATAGCTTGCAGAGGTCAGAATGGTTGATTTGAGATTACAGACATTAAGTAACAAAATTATTGTTTCGAGCTCTTACAGATTTATGGTCACCGGCGGTCAATGTTTTAATACAGGGACATTGCAATGACTGATAATAAAAGTAATATGAAAAACAAAAATGCATTATTAGCGGTATTTTGTGAGCGAAATGGAAGATAGATGAACAAAATCACTACCGACTGTCAAATAAGATACGATACCTTCCCACTAGGAACGAGGAAGTGATGCATCGGATTATTGAGATCCTTGCTGAGGTCGAATATTTTGACGAAATCAGAGGTGACGAGCGCCAGCTGTGTCTGTGAGCCCGGCAACCAAATTGCCTTGATCACATAGTTATTGCCTTCAAGACCGGTGCTCAACACGAGATGGTCTGCAACTGCACCTGTTATATTATAATATTCTTAGTAAAGGAATATCACATACAACATTTTTAATTTAACCACCTACAAAGTTCCTATACTAAATACACAACACCCACAACAAATTTTATTCCACAAAACTGATAAAGGGTAGCTAAATAGGAGAACTTATAGAAGACTTCATACACGATTTCTGCAGTCGAAAAAAGTTTTTTAAACTATACTAAACAAAGAGTTTGTTGTCATAACCATGTAGCTCAGCGAGCGAATGAAAGCGCAAAATCTGAAATCGCTTATAATATAAACTTACCGCCACTGTTGAATGTTAAGACGTGACACTCTTTTAGTCCACAGACAGCCAGTAGATCTTCATTCCAAGGATTACCGCTGAGACTGAGAACCGTGAATGGGATAGGTGCTGATGAAAGTCTTGTTAACGTCAGCTTATGTTTAGACGAATCCGCTTGCTTCAACAGCGCAGACAGTTGCAACACCGTTATTTTACCTAAGAAAATTTATGTAATTTAAATTATTATCAATAGCGTAATTAGTTGGTGCAGTACAAGGGAACTGTTTATTTTTATATCAATTCATATCATGACACGAATATAATTACAATGACAAATTTAATTGTTACTATGGTAACGTTTTAATTCCTTATAGAAACTTCCACTCCTGTTTCATCCCTTTATTTGCTGTTTTTCTAGATAAAATTTAACCTATGTTCACCTAGTTTCCATAGGTGAAAGAATTTTTAAAATCGGTCCAGTAGTTTCGAAGCCTATTTGTTGCAAACAAATAAACAGTCAAGTCTTTTCTCTTTAAAATATTAGTATAGGCAATAGTAGAACTTTGGTGTTGTAATGAAGCCCCAAAACTTTAAAATTCAGTCTTGGCTTGTGGAAGTCGAAACATTATGCCAACGATTTGCAAATCTACGAAGGCCTTATTCTGAGGTGAACTAGCAAGAAACTCAGCATAATTATTATTTCATTCAATGGAGTTACAATATACTTTTTCAATAAGTAGTTCACCTTTCTCGTGGGAAACTGCCAAGTGTTGGCGACGGCCTTGCGGTGATGCGAGACAGCACATAGCGACCCTCCTCAATTTATGAGTGGACATCAATTGTCGTATTGTCTGGCCATTCTCTCCCGTATACGACATGCGAACATTCTCGAAAGCTCCTTCTTGTGAACCTAATAAAGAATATTAGGTATTATGTTAACAAAAGCTTCTATTAGGACTATAGCCAACAATCATTGTTGTTATTATTAGTCATCAGATTAGGTAGAGCTGGCTTGACTCCTTCTTAGGCCTGTTGTCTTTACTTACGCTAGACTCCGCAATATTTAACAAAGGAGTATATACCTTTTTATTTGACAAATTACAGATCTAATGACAAGATTCTATACAACAGTAAACAATGAACATAGGCGAGGTCGCATCGCTATTCTTATCACAAGTAGTCAAATTCAAACTAACCAATCAGATCAAAACAATACCCTACGTGTCGAGTACAATAGTGGTGGTGCGTAAACTTATTCAATCATGCTTACAACTTATTCAACTTATGAAACTTATTCAATTAAAAAATATTCAATAAAAACAATAGACCATGTCAGATTACAGGGGGGTGCCGGATTAAAGCCGGATTACGGGAGGTTTACTGTACTTAATTTCATTAAACAAGTACGACTGCTTAAAACTAACAACAATAAACTCAAAGCAAATGACATAGCGACGGCAAGCAAAAATAAGTTCAAAAATATATATTGCTTTAGTAGTATGAAAGTAGTATATGTATTTATTGTAGACTCTATTTTAATCAACTGTTATTATAGTTATTAAATTAATTAGTGATAAACGGTGCTGGACTGGTGGCACAAATATTGTCATTATGTTTTGTATCATTTACACTTATGTTGTGTCACCATTTGTTTACCTGAATATTATATACAGGAATATTTTTTTTCCAGTGCAAAAATTTTTTTTGGTTCTTCAGTATCAGTAATAGAACACTTTTCCATAATTAGTTAAAAAATTTTTTTTAAATATTTTTATCCCTATCGAAACGGTAGAATATGGACACATTTTTTAAAATAAAACTTCAATGAAAACGTCTCCTCTTGCGTATGCCACCGTGCAACCCCGCCGCGCCCGGTAGCCCCCCGCCACAGCCCCCACCGCCCCGCCGGGACCGAGCGACGCGCGCGACAGTGAGACTCATACGCACGCGTCGATGTGACGTGTCCTCGCGTTCCCGCGCACGCGACGCGCCCGCCGTCGTGAGTTTTACGAGATGTACGAGTTTATCTTCTGAGTGGTGAGAACCTACATAAGCGCAATTCGGAGAAAGTATGCGACGAAGAGCATACCTCGTATGCGGGCCTTTGGGATCCGTAACCCCGCGGTCCCTAATGCTTCGAACCATTTTAACAGACGAAGTCCCAGAGTCAGTACCCACGATGCGGCATATCTCTTTGGTGTGAGCCAGCCTGCGGTATTGAAGCTGCTAAAAACAGCCGGACTCCATCCGTACCACTTTCAGGCGGTTCAGCAGTTCCATGACCTAGACCCAGTACCACGTCGAGCCTTATGTGAGTGGCTTCTACATCACCGCGATGCAAACATCTTGTAGACGGATGAGGCATTGTTCACAAGTGAGGGACTGTTTCTTATGGGAAGAAGTCAAACGCCGAGATGTAGAGGAGGTACAAAGTCTAGAAGACTTAACAATAAAAAATAATAACGCTTTCAGTGAAGTGAAAAGTGACACTAGTGTTTTAAACAAATTAAATGACAATTTAATGAAATGTGCACGTTTATGTCTGGACAGACGTGGACTTCATTTTGAACAAATATTAAAATACATGGTAAGTAATTAGTTATGTATTTGTTTTAATTAAACATTATTGTAAATACGTAGTTGATTCTAATTTTTTTAAATACGCCTTAACGCAGAAGTACCTATGTAACTTCGGCATAACGTTAATATTTTTTTCTAGGTAACGAATTTGTTTCTCTTTTATTTTTTTGCATTTTGATGGCCTTAACCATAAAAGTATGAAGGGAAAATTGGAATTACTCTTAGAAATCACCTCAGATCATGGCATAAAATCTAGTTCGAATCTAACAAAATGAGCGTTCAGTGACCCGTGTAGATAGGTACCTACGAGTACATGCCTACGGCGGCGTCGAGCGAGCGCTCAGCTGACGCACGGCGCGCGGTGTCCATAAATTAAGTTTTAAAATCTCGATCTTTGATAAGCGATAACTTTATTTTTTAGTATTAGAACATATCAAAATAAAAAATACGTGTTTATTTAAATTATTTAAAGTTTATTTTCACAAAATCTTCGCAGTGGTTTTAAATTATTCCTGTATATAAAAATTAAGCAAGACTTACCTAAGGTAGGCAGCATAAGGTTATCAGTATGCGTGAACTTCTTCTCGCCGAGATGTAGTTGGGCTAGTGCACGTTGCGCGCGTCCGTGAGCCCCAGTGGGCGCGGCGCGCTCGCACGCGGCCCGCACCGGCCCACACAGCGACTCCAACAGTTTACGTATACGCTCTAAGCACGCGTTCCAACCGCCGTACGACTGGAGGTAACCGCGGCATCCTATACCGGACCGTTTCGTTTCAAATAACAATCGTTTAAAATAACAATCCTATACCAATAAATATTTTAATATTGTGTTCGTTTCAAATAACAATAATGAAATGTTGTTGAAATATCCGACTGTTAAAATTTTAACATAGTAATGTTGTCGTAATTTTTTTTTATGCTACTTGATATGATAATACTGAACCACTATCAAGTTTATTGTCTCCAATCTGTTTATTATAAAGAAAATCATTTTTAATTTAATTTAAATTATCACGCGAAAACAGTCAGTCATAAAATTGTCGCAACAAAGACGTTAAGTTTCGGTTCCAGTTATCCACCGACTTGAGATTTTGTAAAAATAAAATATACTTACAATGTATTTACATTTGAAATAACACATAATTATTGTTCACATATAAGTTACAATTTCATAAGTTATTGTTATACAGTGAGAGGGAGATTTTGTTTTATTAAGTAGGATATGATCACCTTGTATGTTGGCAGCGAGCACTGGTCGCCTAGGTGGCGCCAGTAGCGCAGCAGGGGCTGGACTGGAAGGGCGGCGCCTCAGTGACGGTGCGGGTGCACTCTCCTCAGGGCCCCCCGCGCCCGCACCTCCCCGCCCGCCGCCTAGCGCTACTGAACGCTTTACTAGTGCTTGACAACTATACAACAACAAACAATAAAGTGAACACTGAAACGTATAACCTGTGCACGCCATGTTTTTAGAACCATACCTAAAGGGTAACTTATTCATAGTAAAAACCTTCGTGATTTTTGTGGAATAAGGTGATAATTGATAATGTATGATTGGAAGATAAAAAACAAAGGGGCCCTATTACTAAGACTCTTCTGTCCGTCAGTCTGTCACCAGGCCTTATCTCATGAACCGATGCTGGACAGTTGAAATTATCACAGATTAATGTATTTCTGTTGTCGCTTTATACTAGAAATAAAATAAATATTTTAAGGAGGTCTATCACTGTACAAACGTTTTTATTTGCATTTTTTAAACTTGTGTATTCGCACCTGGCCGGTTTAGACGCGCCGTCGACGCATGTTTATATAAGATGTTCATCGACGACGGCGCGCATAAAAAACGTGATCTGCTCCAAATAAAAATTGATAACTATATATACACAGAAAATGATTTATTTGTTGGTATATAATGAAAGTCGTGTATACTACGTGGAATCCATATATTGCTTTAAATGTTTGTCTACCTATTAATATCAGTTATCAGTATCGATGTGCAAACATATCCCCTCTCTCAGAACAATCAAGAACTTTACTCTTTTAACAATAAAAAATGTATAAAAACGGTTATATTATGTGATGAAATTGGAAAAGACTTGGGCCAATTATTACATAACCAGTTGGGAGATAATAACATTATTAATAATTGTATGCCAGGTATTGAATTGCATCAACTAATGCAAAAAGTGCTTACTTTAAATATTGACGAGCGTACAAACTTAGTTATTTTAATTGGAAACAGAGGTAATGTAAATAAAAGAGAATTATGTAACTACTTCAATACCTTAAGTTCCTTGAATTTAAATAAAATTATTATGTTTACATTACCTTATAGCAACAGTTTGCCACAGGAGGAAAATAATATTAGATATAAATTTAATATGACATTAAATACTATAGCTAATTATAATAAAAAAATACATGTAATTGACATAAACAAATTAATCTTTAATTTATATTTGACAAGAGATAAATATTATCTTTCTTTCTATTTTAAGAGACAAATAGCATCCTCGCTAGTTTTTTATTTTAAAAATTTAGCCAATAATTTGGCTATCTCTACTGCTTTTATTGAGCAGAATGATTTTGACTTAAACAAACAGACTTTGGAATATGTTCCAAAACTAAATTTTGACAATTTAAATAATTTAAATTGTTTAATAAGACAATAGAGAAAATCTCTAGCAATAAGATGACCAAGGAAAAGTCTACCTATTTAACTATTGTTCACCAAAATATACAAGGCTTTTCTGGAAAAGATCTAGAATTAGAAATGTGTTTAAATAGTATGAATATTGATATAATATGTATTACAGAGCACTGGCTCAAAAATTATGAATTAATTACGGGTTTTAAAAATTATAAAATTATAATTCTTTAATAATAATAAGTAATTATTTAAAATGTAAAGAACGTAAAGATATAGTATCCCTCTCAATTGAGCGACATATTGAATTGTCATGTGTGGAACTTGAACAGTATATTATTATATGTGTATATAGACCACCTGATGGGGACTACTGTCAATTTGAATCTGCTATGGAGGATGCATTTAAATTAATTTGCAAAGTCGATAAGAAAGTAGTGATATGTGGTGATTTTAATATAGATATTTTAATAAAATGTGCTAAATCAAGTAGATTTTTGAACTTGTTTAAATGTTTTAATTTAGAAAATATTTTTAATGAACCTACCCGCATTACACCCACATCTGCTACTTGCTTAGATAATATTTTTTGTAAATGTAAGGTGTTCAAAAAATCGATTATAAATTGTATTCAATCTGACCATAGCGGAGTTCTAGCAACTTTCGAGCACCATCATGTTTCTCCTAAATGCAATATAATTTGTAGACCTATTACCAAAAGTAATTTAGAAAAATTTAAAAACAGTGTTTCTGCAAATCATACTCAGTTGACAACTAGTAATTTGGAAAATATAAATGATGTTTATAATAATTTCTTTAACTTGATAAAGGGAGAATTTGATAAAACATTTAAACTCAAAACAATTAACTTTACTAACCAAAAAAAGAAATTTAGTGATTGGGCTACACCTGGCATCTACAAAAGTCGAAATAGGCTGTATGATTTGTATGAGCTAAAGTGTACCTCGACCGATCCAAAGTTTATTGAATATGTCAGAAATTATTCGAAAATTTTTAGGAAAGTATGTGTTTCAGCAAAAGCAAAATATATATCTGAAAAAATTTACAATTCAGAAAATAAAATAAAAACAGCCTGGACTATCATAAATCAAGAAACGGGAAAAAATAAAAGTAATATGCGCACATACTCATTAGAGGTTGACAATAAAATTATTAAAACAGATGAAGCGGTTGCCGAGACATTTGAGAAATTCTTTTCTAAGACACCAATAGAAATCACAAGAAATCTTAGTTCATGTTCTAAACTTGCGGTTACGCATCTAGAGTCAGTTGTTGATAAGTGCAATACTGAATTTTATTTTAGACACGTTAACGTCTGCTCAATTATTAAAACATTTAATTGTATTAATGTCAAAAAAACCGAAGATCTTTGGGGCGTTTCAACTTATGTTATCAAATCTATAATACCAGCTATAGCACCTCAATTAACTTTTATTTTTAATAAGTGCATTGATGAAGGAACTTTTCCTGATTTAATGAAATATGGTAAAATAATCCCACTTTTTAAGGCAGGCGACAAGTCTGATCCTAGTAATTTCAGACCAATTTCTATTCTACCAGCATTAAGTAAAGTATTTGAGAAAATGATGTACAATCAACTGCTTGCACACTTTTCATTAAATAAATTACTTCACCAAAATCAGTTTGGCTTTAGAAGAGGTAAATGTACAACAGACGCTGGAATTGCACTTCTGAGGCATATCTATGATGCTTGGGAGAATAAACAAGATGCTATTGGCATTTTTTGTGATCTATCAAAAGCATTCGACTGCGTTAGTCATGAAACACTGTTTGGGAAATTAGAACATTATGGTGTGACGAAAAATTCACTTCATCTAATAAGATCATATCTTTCTGCTAGAATACAAAAGGTAGTAATCAATGAAGCGAAATCTGCAGGGGCACCAGTTACTATGGGCGTACCTCAGGGATCGATATTAGGACCATTGCTTTTTCTAATTTATATAAATGATCTTCCTCACTTTACGAAGAATTTGTGCGAGACAGTATTATTTGCAGATGACACCTCTTTACTGTTTAAAGTTGAGAGGGGTAATGATTGTTTTGACGATGTAAATAATGCTCTCGACAACGTTCTACAGTGGTTTGATAATAATAATTTAAAGCTCAATTCAAATAAAACGAAATGCATAAAGTTTGCATTACCTAATGTGAGGCATGTCAGTACACTTATAAATGTAAATAGTGAAAAAGTTGAGTTAGTAGAATCGACAAAGTTCCTTGGTATTACACTAGATTCCCGACTGCAATGGGATCCTCATATTGATAGCTTGTCAAGTAGACTGAGTTCTGCAGCTTTTGCTGTTAAGAAAATTAGACTCTTGACAAATGTTGAAACGGCAAGATTGGTATATTTTAGTTATTTTCATAGTGTAATGACGTATGGTATATTGTTATGGGGTTCTGCGGCTAGCATTCAGGATGTTTTTATTTTACAAAAGAGAGCTGTCCGTGCTATATATAATTTACGGTCTAGGGAATCTCTAAGAGAAATATTTAAAGAAATAAATATTCTGACTGTTGCCTCTCAATACATCTATGAGAATATTATGTATACAAGAAAACATTACGATTCCTTCACAAAAAAAAGTAGTGTTCATAATCTTAACACAAGAAATAAAGATAAACTTGCCGTTCCAAGCTTCAGACTTCAAAAAACCAGAGGATCATTTCTGGGTAAATGTATTGCTATGTTCAATAAAGTTCCACAAAATGTAATTGACCTACCCATAAATAAATTTCAAATTCATGTAAAGAATATACTTGTGAGTAAAGGCTATTATAAAGTTGATGATTATTTTAAGGATCGCAATGCATGGAATTAATAGCCTTCGCTTTGTTCTATAAAGACTAATTATATGTTCAACTTATGTCCTACAGACTTTGAAAGTTGTATTTACTATTGTGATAAATTGATAATACATATTATTTTGGTAATGACATGATTTATGTAAATGTCATTACTTATGATAAAAAGCTGATAAGTTTCTTTCGCTTGTTCTTCTTGTCAGCTAAAAGACGTCCTGAACAAGTGGTAGGGGAAAAAAGTTTTTTGGACGATTCAAAAGTGCTTGTAATGGCCTACTTGAATAAAGATATTTTCATTTCATTTCATTTCAACTTTTTTACCAGATAGCATTTGGGAATATTTAGACATTCCAAAAGTAATTAAGAATTTGATTTTTTTAATAAAATACCACAAATTCGTTATTCGTTAAATGTGAAGCCCATGAAGCAGTCTCACATCATTTTAAATTTTTTATTTTAAATATGACATTTATCGAAAAATGCTTAAAAAAATTCACCAGTCTCAGGTACTTGAATGGTACCTTGTGGATAGAACTCGAACTTTGTGAGTTCGAGTTCAGGCGACTGCTCTATCCATTGATCTATTTGACGGATCAACAAGTCTGACGAATTTCTCAAACATGATAAATGTTTTTAAATAACGTATGAAAAATAATGACACTTTGGATAATCACAAGACACTGACCTAGAATCTGGCTTGGCCCCGCAGTCACAGAAGAAGTTGCCGAACTTCGCATATGACACGTCGTGGCCGCGGTGACAAACCCGCGCGCACACCGTACAAACTCCGACACCGTCCACCATCTTGCACGTGTGGCAGTGGTACCAGTGCTGGTTCATGAACTCGCGCTGTGTCACAGTGAACGTGCACAGTTTGTACTGGAGCATCGCGTCCTCATCCTGGTAACGAACATTTTATTATAACACGTACGATACAACATGATATTTTAATGACGTAATTTAAAAAATCAAATCGTAAAAAATCAGTACCGTTATGTATTTGTTGGTTTCGAGTTGGTTGACTAAAATAGCAACTGCTATTATGATTTTCATAATAAATAAACATAATTTCTCTCATTTTATAATTACATTTGGTTATGTTAAAAAAATGTCCTTTCAATTTGTTATTGTAAAGTAAATATATTTTTTTTTATATTTCCATATATCTCAATATTTATATATAAATTGATTCTTTTCCAAAAATTCATGCGATAAATTTTGGAGTTTATTTCCAAATATTTCAGTCATTCATAAATTATTTAGCTTTTGCCGTCGTGCTATTCTTTACTTTCTATTTTCATATGACGTCACGCGGGTGTTATTAGACAAGGTTCCAGTGCATTAGCAATTTACAAGATTTATACTTGTAGGTCTATCCTGATTGTACTCAAAAGAAAGTTTTGAATCGTTTTTATAATTTTGTTAACATCATAGCCGTGAAAATTATCTGTGCATCAGAGGCAGTTTCAGGCATCATAAATTTTTCGGTGGCAAATCATCAACAAGTAGCGGGCAAGAACTATTTCAAAACAAGACTACAGTTGCAAGATGTCTACACTGACATTTTGCAGACGCCACGCGTTTCATGCTTATAGTTTTGCGATAGTTATACTTACAGAATCATCAGCGCTAGTATCGTCATCATCTTGTTGCTCATCGGTGTAGTCGAATTCAAATCCAAGATCAGAGGGCGACTCCCAAGTAGGACTAACGGAACGCCACGCTAGAAAAGTAAAGAATATTAAAATTTTATATTCGGGATAGTGATGAGTAATGCAAACAAGATTCTGTATTCCAAATATAACTCACTGTGTGGCTGTGAGGTGTTGATAGCGTGCAGGGCATCTGTGAGATACGAGAGTAGAACGCAGGCAGACTCGATCTGCGGCGCCAAGTTGGTATCCACCTGCCCTTCTTCTAATTTTTCCAAAACTTCAGGACTACTCAGATTGTCAACACTTTAGAAAAGTAAAGATGATAAAGTTAGCAAATATTAATTAAAAAATAAAAATAAATAGTCTTTTAGGCGATAAGAAGCTTGAAAGTTGTCAGCCCTAAAATCAATAGTAACTAATATTGTTAATTTGACCTTCTCGAGGTCAAGTCAAGATAAGGCTAAAAAAACGGTTAGAAAAATATTTCTGCATAAATTCGATTACTATGAGCAGGCGTCTTATGTATACTATTAAACAAGTTGTTCAGCACAAAAAATTGTTTGCCTATTCTGTGCACAATTTGCACTAACTGCGTGGTGAGATTTATTATTTTCACTAGACTATGTTTTGCAACGATTCCCTTAACTTGGACTGTAACACCGACGCGTCGGTAAAGCAGTACGCGCACCGACGTTGCTGTAATACGTGATCAAATATCTACCTAATTTTATGTCACCTTCTTCCTTCCTCGTTTTTCCTTTGCATTCTTACAGTACTTATGCTTAAACTTTTTACTTTCTCCATCATATATAGTATGAACAAAATAAACATTAAATATGAACAAAATATAATTATTTTATATTTATTATTAAAATTACCTGGACCTTCTCTCCCAGATTTATGGCGTAAGGTGCACCTTACATTTACAAAGACATTGTATTACTCACCAGGCTGCTAGCCAAGACACAGCAGCAGGGAACAAATGTCGATGATCAGCCCCAGCGTGTGCGTCAGCTAAACGACACATCTCACGTAATAATAAAGGTGAACACGCGCTCTCACCGCACACTACGATCAGCGTCGACAGCATACGATCACTAACGTCCTCACTACTACAACAATCATAAAACAATAATATAATATATTGCTCAGCGCAAAACTTGAGAACTGTTTCTTTTTATTTTTTACTTTAGTTTAATTCGTTGAAGTCCATGAAAACTACTATAGAGATAAAAAACAAATATAGGCGAGTTAAACAACCTTACTACTAATGATACAAGAAGCGATAAAGTTGATTGTTTTATCAACAGTAGAATTTTAATCACGCTTTGGTACTGGTACGTAATTTCAACAAATATCAAAGCGCTATGATATAGAATAATAATAAAAGACTTGGATATTGGTGCGTGTGTGTGTGTGTGTGTGTGAGTATTGACACGTTCATATAAAAGGACAGAGTATCAAATATAACGATTCCATATTGCTAGATGAGCAACAACCTTTTTTGTAATATTATTTACTCACCAGTGAAGAACGATGTGCTTGCATAGAGCAGTAAGTAGCGCTGCGTTGTCGTTAGTGGAATCCGCTAGAGTGGCAGGTGTGACGTCAGCGGCTGGAGTTACAGCCGCGCCAGCTGTACCTTCTTTGCTACCAGTGCCATCTGACCAGCTACTGTTCTCTGTTACAGTGAACATAAAAGGGTTTTAGAATAATAATCATCATCATCATCATCATCAGCCCTTTTTAGGGCCCCTGCTGCAGGGGCTCAGGTCTTCCTTATGGATGGTTAAGGAGGATGGGCCATGACGCTGGCCCAATGCGGATTGGAGGGTATTAACGAATAGAAATGCAGCCGAGACCAACGGCTTAACGTGCCTACCGAAGCACGAAGTAGCTCGAGATAATAATTTTTTGGTCACCCATCCCCTGACCGACCCTTGCGAAAATTGATTAACAACAACGATCGCGGGCCGCGGCGCTTATCCTCTATGCCACCGAGCTACTTCATACTCATTAGAATAATAATAATTACTAAATTCTCAGTTCCATATAAAAAATGGAATAGTTAATAAAATCTAAGTAGTCACCAAGACGGGATATTGCGTAAATCGGAGTTGTTTTGGGGTTGATAGTGTGTATGAAACTTCGTTACTACAAATGCTTGGGGTCTAAAATTTTGCATAGGGGTTAGTTTTAGTATTCTGAATTAAGGCTACTTATTATCCCACGGAACAGTTCCCTACAAACCACCCAGGCAAAGCTGTTGGCGGAAAACTAGTATTAAATAACTGGAAAATTAGTGTAAGAAATACTATACCTGATTGTTGAGTGGTATCGGATTGAGGCCTTGGCGCGGGAGGTCTGAAACAAATCATTATCTTTAATTATCAAGAACTCAAAAACTTTTAAGAATATTTTTTTATTTTGCTTTGAATAATTATACATACGGCGCATCAAAGACAGGTAGATCGGGATCGGCACGTTGCGCAGGCGCATCTGTACGCTGCGTGGAGTCACTCTCAGTGCGGAACACGCTACGGAGGGCGTTACGTAAAGCTAACGAGGCAGGGTTGCCAGCTTCGGGTGCAGACGACGTTGGAGTTGGCAACTCCGTTTCGGTAGGCGAACCATTAGCAGTGCCCGTCGCGCCGTTAGATGAAGCTAGTGAAAAAAAAACGATTTCTTACAATAAAATAAAAAATGAACTACATACGTTCAGATTGTATATCCAGTTGGTTTTAATACAGTTCAAAGAAACACCTTGTGGTGATAGCACTAGAAAGTGCATGTTTTGGCAGTATTCGGAGTGATAATAATCACTATAAATATACCATGATATTTATCTTGATAATTATAAAACACAACAAAAAATCTTTTTGGACTGTAGGACGTGTTATTAAAGGGGAATACTTTTTAAACAACTGTCAAATATGGTTTTTCTAATAGAGAAAATTATAATGATAATTATAAAAAAAAAAATAATTACACCCTCGTTTTTGGTATTGACAGCTTATGCAATTTTCATTAGGTCATGCAAACTCTATATATATAAAACGAATCCCTATTTCCCTTGATCACACCATCACACGTGAACGGCTGGACCAATTTCGCTAATTATTTTTGTTATGTTTATTATTGTCAGAAGAAGGTTCTCATAAAAGAAAATAAAATAAATTAATTAAAAATATTAAACCACCATAAAAAAATATTTCTTATCTAACCTTAGTACTTCAGATAATATAAACTTTTTAATGTAACCTTTATGACGTTTGATATAAAACTGATAGAATGTGTGCTGCAAAATTTCGTAAATTAAGACATGACAACGTCTGTCGGGTTAACTAGTGAAAAATATTCCTGATCCAGAAATACTAGATGTAGAACGTGAGGAAAGATAGCCCTGTGGGGTTTTTTGATTGTACAATATTCAATCTTAGAATATTCACGCCGTTTACGGATAGTATCATCTACGAACTGCAAATCGAACCAACTACGTGAGCACATACCAATGGCAAAACTGTGTAAAGCTATATCCAGATATCAACACGATAAAAGAATCCTTAAAAACTCACTAGGTGCTCTCAAGCAGATATGAGATAAGAGGCTAGACAGCTTCTGTTGATCAGCTACTCCAATAAACTTGCAAACTGATATGCAAAGACCACTATTAAGCTCTCCACCCTCACAGCCACTAAATATTTTGATGAACAACCTGTTAAGAGACAATGATTATAAAAGACAATATTATAGGACAAAGTAAAAGTGTAATAATAAAAGGAAACAAATTTAAAATACAGCAAACATACTTAATGACTCTTTCAGCGTAAGGATTTCTAGCGTTTGGAGCGGATAAGAGGATCTTCCCTAGTGAATATCCAGAGTTATCAGCAAAAACTGTTTCGTATGCCAGTCTACCAGCTGGGCGTTCCAAAATCTTCTCCCAGTATTTAACCTAAAAAAAAATTACGCAAATAACAACAAAAGACAAATTACAGTTATCAAAAGTGTTGAAAAAGGTTTGTTTCAAGTCAATACATTGAACTAAAATGAAACTGCAATTGATTTGGAAGTTAAATTCAAACTTGATTGCATTTAAATAATGAAATTTATGATCTTAACTAATTTTAATTAACAGTTTCTTCTTTTACTTTGCATGTATTACTAATTGCTAAGTACGAAGTATATGTAGTAATAAAATACCAGATGTTTAAGCGTCTTCTCTGTAGACGGTTGCAGGTGGTCCACGAGTACAGTGTAGGTGGTCTTTAGAATGTGTTCATGTATCAGCTGTTCAGCCTTTTGTGGTTGAGGCACCAGTGTATTGAGCGTCGCCGCCAGCGTCTCCGACATGAATTCCAAACGACCGTCAGTCTGGTTAAAAAAGAATTCATAAATATATCTCGTATTTATTTTTTCCCATTAAATATTGATAAACTCATTTAAATAAGCAAGACAATAATTATATTTACAAGAAGAAATATTACTATTAAACTAATGTTTTATGAAGATGGTAAAAAGGAACATTCAATTGTTCATCATTCCAAAAAAAAAACATTTTTTTTTAGTTTGACTCCAATTATTTACCATTAACAATATAAAAATCAGATTAATCTATAAGTTATTTATATCATTAACAATAAAAAATGTTTGTTGTTTCGATGTTTCGATTTTATTTACTTTCAGGATTTTTAAAAGAAACACAAATATTACTGAACTTAACCATTTCGACTGAAAAGAATAAACGTTCACCTTTTCATCAAAGTTTGATGTTTCTTACACATACAATACCATGTTATAACTCACCAGTGCTGGGACAACCAAATCCAAAGTCTTGTTCATAAGTTCAGGGTTGTCAGCTAGTTTGCTAGCGCCAACTTCAAGTAGTTTAGCCGCCGAATACGCTAGCATCATCAGTGAAGGTCCAATAGAGTACTTAGTGTTGGCACTGATCAACTCACAGTGCGATGACACCAAATTAAGTACTGCACTCTCCGATGGTATAATATGGGATGCGTAGAAAGCCTGATAATAAAACACGTACTTTTAGTATACTATCGAATTTCTTTCTACTATAGAAGAGATAATTTGACAGTCATTATTTACACTATTCATGTAAATTTTACTTTTTGTAAAAAGCACAAAGCTTGACAATTTAAAAGTCTAAAACTTTAAGTTCATTAGATGTCCGGAAATGTGCCAGATTCTACACGAATCAATGACAGTCGGTACATAAAGTCGAAGAACACGAATCAAAGTTATATTCCAGCAGATCTAGCGCATGTCACCTCTGCTGTGCTAATCCAAATTATTGCAATTAAAATTAATATGGCTTGCCTATGTTTCTTCGCAGAATTTCAAGGCGCGGCAAATTCTGATTAGACAGCGTGATTGTTACTTTATAACAAGATATTTTAATAATAATAATAATAAAATCCATTTATTTGGGACAAAACTAAAACATAAGCAATACAATCACATGGACACGACTAAATCTCTGTCCCAAAACGGTTCCAGCTCAGCATATGCTGGTTTTGTGATCAGCGCTGATCTTCCGCTGAAACCGATCCGGTGAAAAAACACAAACAGTAACACATAACAAAAATACAGTGACATAAAAATACAAATATGTAGCCGTATCGAAAGTCCGGCTGTATGGTAAAAGCTATTTTTCCGTATTATTACTGTTCTCTTTGAGCTATCTCTACGCCTAATCCATAGATGAACACATTAGTATCTATGGTAGTAACTAAACCTTAATCTGTGGCAGTCTGTGGTCTATGGCATTGACGCTTTAACATTTTAATCAAAGTACTTTGTGATTTTATTGAACATTCTATTAATCCTAGTTATAAATATGAAACTTCAACTTCAAACAATCAAATCACCTGACATTAGTAGAACTGTGCGGAGCAGACAAGCCACTATCAAAAGAAGGAGACACTTGTGATTGATACAAAAACTTTTCTACAACAACAATACTTTACGTGTGACAAATTATAAACGCGTTATAAAAGCGAGTTATAAGATCGCTTCAGAGGTCTAATCACAACTCATTACCGAAAACACAAAACATTATTAACTCTGACAAATGGATTGCAAACTTAATGCGGAGAAACAGGAGCAGAGCAAAATGTTCAAAAAGCCATATTCACATAAAGAGACGAAAATTTAAGGTACGCATATCTTTAAAATACACTAGTTTCGTGAGCTTGAGTTTCCTGTGTTTTTTGATGTTGGTTTATGTAATATGTTAGCTTGCGCCTAAAAGTCTTAACACTTTGCAGGTTTCTCAGAGGTGGCGGTATATTATTCCAACACTTTGTGGCCGCATAGCGGAAGCTACCTCGAAAGGCAGCAGAAGCATGACGTTCGGTGGACAACTGCGCACAGACTCTTCGGACTCCATATGCCTTGCAACTAGACTTAAAAGATAACTTGTTAAACAGATAAGCAGGTGCCTCATTCTTTATTATGTCAAACAATAAACATGCTAAATGAAGTTTTCGACGATGTCGCATCTTGAGTATAGAGTGCGCATTTAAAAATGGCGTCACATGGGCCCTCAACGGAATGTAGAAGCAGAATCTAGCACATGCATTTTGAATACGCTGTATTAATTTTTTTGTTCTATTAAGTAAACGTGGACCATACACTGTATCCATATAATTCAGTTTCGATAAAACAAGCGACTCCACTAACTGCACCCGCAATCTCTCGCACAGAAACCGCCTAACCCTATATAACACCTTTAGTTTGTAAAAACAATTTTGTATGCAACTATTAATATGCTTTTCAAACCGCAGATTACAATCCATAATCAAACCCAGATTACGTGCTTCATATACTCTTTCAATTGGATTGTTATTTAACTTGACCGATGTGTTGATACTTAGTTTGGACATCTGACATTTGGTACCAAAGATCATGTACTTTGTTTTAGTGGGGTTTAATAATAAACAATTTTCATTAGACCATTTGTGAACATTTTCTAAATCGTCATTAAGTTTCCCTATTGCATTGTTAATGTGTTCTGGTTTAGAGGATATATATATTTGAGTATCATCAGCATACATATGACATTTGGAGTTTTTAATTTGTGATGTTATATCAGCCGAGTATAAAACATAGAGGATCGGCCCTAAGACCGAACCTTGTGGCACACCCCTACATATGGACACTTTTTCAGATTCCATAGAAGAACCGTCTCCGTTCAATTTCACATATTGGGAGCGATTACTAAGGTAGCTGTCAAACCACTTCACTGCGTCATGGCCAAAACCATAATATCTTAATTTGGATAAAAGGAGGTTTATATTTATTGAATCAAAAGCCCTGGAGAAATCGAGTAAAACAAGCAACGTACACATGCCTTTATCCTGTGCATGCAGTATATTATCAATAACATCAAGTAGGGCAGTGGTTGTGCCATGACCTTTCCTGAATCCTGACTGTACCTGAGGTAAAATATTATTTTTCTCTAAGTACTCAACCAGTTGCATACATACTGCCTTCTCTAAGATCTTAGACAAGCATGGCAGTATACTGATTGGCCTCAGGTCCTTAACATCTACCGGGTTAGTGGTTTTAGGTAAAGGAAGTACTATTGCCTGTTTCCACATATCTGGATATGTACAGGTAGTGATAGACTTGTTTATAATATCTCTGATTACATCCAGTGTATGTGGTAGGGTCTTCATAATCATATCCAAGCTTATGGAATCACTTCCCAGTGCATTGGACTTTAAGCTATTAATTATTTTTATGGTTTGATCCAAACTGATGGGTTCTAAATGAAATATAGAGTCAGTGAATCTATTATACTCATAAAAAGTCATTAATGAAATAGTCACTTCTGATGGACCCAAAACTTTCATAAAATGATTATTTATAGCAGTTGGATTATTGAAACATGCTGGTAAATTACAATTTTTCTGGGGTAAAATAGTGTTCTTGAGATTTTTCCATAATAGTTTTGGGTCATTTATTTTACTATTTATGTTATATTTAAAATAGGCTGTTTTTTCGTTAAATAATGCTTGATTAACTAATGATTTCAGAGATTTGTAGTAATCAATTGAACAGTTTGGTCTTTTTTTGTGATAGTTGACTAAGGCTTCATCCCGGAGCTTCATCATTAGTTTGACCGTGTCTGTTATCCAAGGAGGACAGCATTCTCTGACGACAATAGATTTCTCTGGCGCAAAGTGATCAAAAATAGTAAGCATATATGCACTAAACATATTAACCATTTCATCAACACTGTTCAGATACCTAATATGATCCCACATTCCCTTCATATTATTTAATTGTTCACCAATCACATCCATACTGATGTTATTCATTGGTCTATATTTTATGATTCGTGGAGGATTTTTTTCTCGCTTGATGTTAAGTTCGCAAACCAACATGCAATGACCAAACAGCAACCCCACATGGTCAGAGATTATGTTTTTAATATTGGAATCTGTACACACAACATCAATTAATGTCTGGCTATTTGCAGTGAAGTGTGTTGGGCCAGAAATCAGCTGTGTTAAGTGGAAACATGTTAAAAAGTTATTGAATTTCATTGTTTCGGTGCTATGACTTTGTAATAAGTTGATATTGAAATCACCCAGCAACACCAGATTGTCACAGTTGGGAATCGAACTGATAGTGTCTGATATCGCGTCAAAAAACAAATCAATGCTCACCCAGGGTGGCCGGTATGCAGTACCTATAATTAACTTCCTTCCGTTAAGGGTCAAGGCGAGCCACATCTGTTCAACTATTCTGTGTAAAGGGTCCACCGGATGAGGCCATACTCGCAAATTAACGCCTCGCTTGATATAGAAGCCTACACCTCCCCCACGTGTACGCAAATTTCGAGGGCGCGGGATATGCCGCAATCGGTATCCCGGGAGCGCAGGCGCACGGCCCTCCTCGTTCTCTTTTAGCCATGTCTCATTTATTGCCAGTACATCTATGTCATGCCGCGTCACTGCGGCCACAAAGTTGTCGTGATTAGTTCCGAGGGAACCCGCATTATATAGTCCAATTTTTACTCTTCCCTTAATCATTTGTCAGTGATAACATTGTATGTATATAATATATAGTATATAATATGTATATAATATGTATATAATGTATGTATATGTATATGTATATAATAGATCATAAGACTAGAAATTATAAAGTGTAATACCAAAAAATGAGAGTGCCTATCCAATTTGCGATCGCTATTATGTATTTCGTAGAATAGTTTTTGATGTAAATATTGTAATAGTCTATGTCTTATCAATATATTTCTTTCATATAAGCCCGTCTTTTCGTTACCCAGTCCCTTCATCAACATAAAACAACACTTATTATATCTTACAGAGCTCAAGTGATCACTCATCGCGTAAAACGGCATCGATGCCAAAAACACAGTCTACATCGGTGTCCGTCCGAAAGCTGTGCACACGCTTGCCGTCGTCCTGTCGAGCGAAGATCCGCCCCCTCTTGGTCCACGTGTATCGCCATTGACGTTTTCGACACTCTTCGCGGACTCGATGAAACAGACGACGGTTGTAACCCGTCAACCGCTCATTGATATAGATGCGCCGCGGAACACCCTCCAAGCCGATGTCCGTCGTTGTGACGTTCCGGCGCACACGCGCAGCGCGCAGCAGCTCGTCGCGCAGGTCGCGGCGCGCCAGCCGCACGACCAACCGCCGCGGTCGCGCCGCCGCGCCGCCGCCGCCCGCCGCACGCGCCTCGACCGCACCGACACGCTCCGCGAAAACGACATCTCGAGCCTCCAGCGAAACACCCAGCTTAGTAGCTAAAACGGTCACGGTATGGACAGGACTGACGCCTTTCTCTTCTGGAATGTGTCCTATATCTAGATCAGACAACAGCGCGTCCTGATCTCGACCGTTCAGCTCCACCTTGAGACTTTCCACTGTCCGTCGCAACTCCACAAGTTCATCCGCAGCCGGCGGCGCCTGAGCCTGCCTACGTTCGACCTCGCTCAGTCTATGATCGAAGGCCCCCATCCGCTCGTCCATATTCTGCATAGACAACCGAAACTCCTTCATGTATTCCCGGAGTTCAGTCATGCATGCCTTAATCTCGAGTCGCATCATACCTATTTCAGACTCTGCATCGGATGGAATGGGTGCGGCATGCGTAGCGAGTGGCACCTTGGCACCGTCAGCGGCTTCACAAATATTCTTTACGGGCGTGTTGCTATTGTCTCCCTTCCTGACTCTCTTGTTCGTGCATTCCGGGCATACCCAGCCCTTAGCAACAGTAACAGTATCGGGTATCGCTACACAAGCTTTATGAAATATACCCGTACATGTAGTGCAACTAGTGGCACCTGACGGCGATAAAAATTTACCGCAAGCCGTACACTTTGCCATGCTTAATAGATGAACGCCGATACGATACGCTTTATAGGCAAATCGAACGTCCTAAAAGTTCACCTCGATAACGATAGATGGCAGCAGCCGTCTGAACCGCAAGATGGCACCACCACTCGTAGCGCGTTTTATCGATGTATTTGTCATACAAGTAGTACGCTGTATTGGTGATAGATGGTGACACTAGTCACTCGTAGTATCAATGTCAGATTACCCACACACAGACAAAACGAGACCTAAGATAGCTGCTATATTAACATCGATAGCACACAGTCACAACACAAACAGCGACACAAACACTATTACGAATGCATCGGCCGCTATAGCACACACTGAAGCGGTTTCCACAGAGAATTACGGAGTTTACGATTTTTACTGTAACGACTACTCCAGCACAGACCGACCGTGTTACCGTTCGTACCGTTTATATCTTATGATTATTATCTTTTCACGCCGTGTTCCTTGCGGACTAGACGGGGATGACCAAACGACACAATTTACGGTCCTTACAAACATCTTTTGCCTCATCTTTTTCTACAATATTATTGAGAGAATTTTCTAACTTACGTTTGTTTGCAAGGGATAATCTTAGGAAGTAATGATCCAATCATGAAATTTCTCTCACTTTCAGAGAAGCTACATCAATTACAAATTTAAATCAATCGTCCCGTCATCATTAGCATTGCCAGCCCTGGTTTGCGCAAAGGAAGTTTTTTTATTAATTTATGATGAGCACACTCTTGAGCTCGATCCAGAATGAGAACATGAATGTAACCTACGGCGGGACGAACTTTACGTCATACCGTACATATTGTTTGGGTTTCGCTACACATTACTCACGAAGTTGATGCACGCTAGAGGCGGCGGGGACGCGAGCCGGTCTAGCGCGGCAGCTGCTTGCTGCGGCAGGTGTTCCCTGAGCCACACGCCGAGGGGGGGCGCGCCCGCCCCGCACCCGCCCCACCCCCCGCACACGCGCAGCCTGGCATTCCACACCGCCACTTCCGACGCACTCGGGGGAGCGGATGTGGTGTTCACGTTGCTACTTTCCACCGCACACTCTAGATCGGACGCTGCGCTTATGCTGTACGAAAGATAAAACAATTGAATTATTTTATCTTACTGATATTAAAAAGGTTTCACTTTTATAATATTAGTTTGTAGGTTTGAATGTTTGTTACTTCTTCACCATAAAACTACTAAACGGATTTTTATTGAAATTTGGTATATGGATAACTTTATGGCCTGCCAAATCACAAGCCTGGATTACCATATAGGCCCCAACCCCGCACAAGCGCAGCAGTTTTACACCACGTTGCTAACTTCCACCGCACATTAGATCGGACGCTGCGCTTACGGAAGATAAAACAATAGGGTATAGACGACTTTTTTAAAAGCAAAATAGATATCATTTCATACGTTAGTATTGTACTTACTCTTATTTATTTTAACGTCATTGAACACAGCCATTTTTTCGTATATCGTATTCTATGGCTATGGGAAATTGGGTTATGGAAGTATGTTTATCTCGGTATATCAAGAGATATGCTGAAGATTCTGACAGGGAGATAATTGTTAATAATTACTTCGCGCCCTTTGTGGTTGTATTATGATGTTACGCTATCACAATAAAGTTTACGCTGTTTTATATAGCAAAAAAGTCAGTAGTAGTTTGTGAATGTGTATAATAATAAAATGTCATTGGGTATATGGATAAATCTAAGGCTGGATTGACATATAGGCTACTTTACCCCTTCATAAAAGTACAATCAGTTTATCATGCAAACCACACGGACGAAGCCGCTGGCGGAGAACTAGTAAAATATAAACACGGCCTGAAAGTGAAATATTATGTTCTTTTGAACCATAAAGAAAAACAAAAAGATATACTTACCGACAACATTCAAGTATAGTTTCAAGCAACTCTAAAAGATCAGGCATAAACTGATGCGCTTCTGTTGCCGAAGTCGTGTCAGCGAGACATACTTTCAGTCTCACTAATGCTGAATCGCAAGATATGACGTCGATAAGGGAAGGTAACCCAGTTGCTATAAATAAAAAATAAATTTAATATATGACTAAGTCTGAAAAACATCAAATGAATAAATTAATGAAATCACTTACCTGTGATGTTTTGTTTCAAATGCTTGATAGTTTCAGAGGCTAGCCACGCTGTGTATTTAATGTTATCGCAAGAAGTGCTGACTCCTGCGAGCAAATTCTCAGCATACTGTAAAGAGGTAAACAGTTTGCATATATGCTTGCCGATTTTTTATAGACCTTAATTTTTTGGTTTAGAAATCACAAGTGGATTCCACCATAATATTTCATTATTATTTTGGGAGACATTAATTTTAGATGGAAAATAAAAGATATAAAACTTTGTGTTTTATATTGCACGACCATACGAGTTATCTGCTGTCTACGGCAGGCCAAAGTGAACGCGGCCTGCGTCATTTTCTAATAAGAACATATAAGTTATCTGATACCCTGCTTGACTTGCACATCTTTGAGCCAGGGGTTGAAAACCTTTTTACGCATCATTTACGAACAAGTACATATAATTTACCAGTGTATACATGCCCTGCTCGACTAGCGCGTTCTTCAGCTGGGGTTGAAAACCTTCTTACGCAACATTTATGAACAATACATATAAGTAACCTCTGTAATACCTGCCTGAATAGTGCATTCTTGAGCCAGGGTTGAAAACCTTGGGCATCATTTATAAACAAGAACATACAAGTTACCTGTGTATACATGCCCTGCTTGACTAGTGCGTCCTTGAGCCAGGGATTGAAAACCTTCTTGTTGTCAGCGCGCGGGGCCCAGATCACCGCGTGAAGCGGTAAAGGCGACGGCAAATCCGCCGATGTGCCTGCTTGGAGTTTGTCCATGTGTGGCGTAGCGGGAGGCATACTTATGACTAGCCTGTATATGATTCGAAAATTATATCACATCATTAGACTTGCTTTTATATTTAATCGTTTTAATCGTAGCCCCTGTAGCCACTTACAAATCGTACAGCTCGGTATCCATACATAAGACATACTTTTAGTGCTTTCCTACATATAGTCTAAACTGCCTTTGTTTGAAATCAATGCTATATTGGAAATTTTTTTTTAATGAAAAATGTTTAAAAATCCACATTGTCATTGGTACTATGAGATGGGATTCGAACGACCTTTCGCAATCCGGACTGCTCTAACCACTGAGCTACCTAGGACCTAACAGGTCCTAGCCCGGATTGCGAAAGTTATACGTTCGAATCCCATCTCAGAGTAGGTACCAGGGACAAACTGGATTTTTAAACATTTTTCAGTAAGAACATTTTTCTGTGTAATATCTATGTTGACGACAGACTGTTTGAGCATGACTTTTCAAAATAAATTAATAAAAATACGATTTACTGATTGAATCATACTTAAATATAAACATTTGTGTGTATCAAACGGCGTTTCTAAATACTAGCTGATAACCGATTAACTTTTTAAAGAAAAATAAAATCAAACAAAAACGTTTTACTCATAATAACATTACGACTTACGTACCGTAATAACATTATGGATTTATGTATTAATTCTGTATATTGACTTACCTCCAAGATGTCTGGAAGCAATAGTGAGCCGCAGCCAGAGCAGTAGGGGAGGAGTGATATTGTGGATTATCACAAACGCACGCAGAGTTCAGCAGAGCCAGAAGCGCGTCTAATAACAGCGGGTATTTCAGCTTATGAGGCGTACCCAGTACGAAATTACAAGCAAGACCGTCAAATTTAGGATTTTCCTGTATAAACATAAAGTCTGTATTACATTACGTTACAGATAACACAACTTAAGAGGTATTTAATAATGATTACATTTCATACCTGATTATTGATCTCGGCGTTAGTCAACGCATAGAATTTGGGCCTCATAGAAGTTTCGTCTTGCGATAGACGTCTGTATGCTTGTTCTATGTACGGCACTTCACAGTATATACGAGCCTTCAGTAAGCCACTATCAGTAGTAGTCTTAGCTCCAGTTGTCACGGACTCTGAAGATGGCTGCGCTAGACCGGGAGCTATGACAAGGTTCCATTCGATCTGAAATAAAGTATAAAACGTTTGATGTAACTTACTCATGTACCTACTTAGTAAATGTCAGGATATCAGAATAGAGATGATGACTAGGTAAAAAAAAGGAAATTCCATTTAGTTCGTCAGTTATATAATAGAATAATATTAGATACATATTTTTTTGCTATAATTTAACAAGAAATGGCTAAGATTATAGGCATTAAGAGGAGTGGGAGCTCGCTACGTCACAACTATGTAGAAAATGTACAAAGGTGTGTCGTCATACGTTATTTGAAATCAATGTGTTTAGTCAATAAACATGTAACCATGTTCCTGTATTTGTGAGGAAAATAAATTCAAAAAATATAAAATAACTAATGTAGCGGCCGTTAATTATTGATTTCTCAAGAAATAAAAAAATACGTGTTTAATACTCTTTAATAATCTACCCGATGGTCAAACAAAAATTAGTAATCATCTCTTTTGATTGAACATCACGCCATCGGAGTTCGAGTGAGGTGGACACCTAATGCGTTGTATTTTACCCCTTATTTTTATTGAAATAAGACTCATTATAATTTTTTAAGTCTTGGTCGGGTCTGCTCTGCGCAAAAGAAGATTCATCGTGGCTCATATTAATTGGGATTTGCTGTACCTCTTAGGATTATAACAAAATTATTAGTATGAAGTGTATTTTACCTGTTGTAGAAGGGTTTGAGGTGCGTCATATAGATGTCTCATGAGGTACTCCAACAAAAGCATTAATCTAGTAATGAGCATCAATTGATGTGGAGCTAGAGTCATGGCTTTCTTCCTCTCACTAATGGCTAAAGTTTCTACGACCTGTAAAATTATCAAGTAATGTTTTAAATTGTTTTCAACTAACAAATGAATTACAAAAGTTTGATATTTAATACCTTAATAATTGCATTGGATGTCATCAATAAAACCGATTTCTTTTGCATTAGAGTTAGTGAGTGGAATAAATACACCAAAAGCTGAGCGTGTTCCACATTCAAATCTGCAACAAAGAAATTTTTTTTATTCAAATGCCATAGGATGATCAGATCAAAAGAACATCTCCATTCTTCACATTATATATGACCTATACTATGTTAACAAAGACAAAAATTTAACAAGTAATGTAGTTCGATACCGCAATAAAAACAATTTGAGTGAATGACGTATTTAAAAAAGAAAGATTATTTTGCTTCATAGAATATATAAAGAACAAGAATTTGATGTCAACTATATATTATATATAACACCAGTATACCTTCATAGTCATGGTCTTGCGACGGCTGCGCTTGTAATGCGCACTCTTGCAGCGTATTCACGATCTTATTCCACATCGCTAAGATGCTATTTTCACGTTCTGCTGCCGCCTTTCCTAGTACCATACCGCCGAGAAGTTTCACCACACGGGGACCAACCTAAGAGAAAATGACATATCTGAATAAGAAAGCGGATGACAATGTAAACCACGTCTTGTATCGCTCAGTTCTCTTTACTTCATCAGCAGACAGTCAAGATCAACCTGCACAAGGTCCGCCAGCCCTCTATAGTTCTGTTTACCAATAGGTAATAATGATATGAATTGTACTAATAACCATAGTTCATATTTAATATTTATGTATCAGATAAGCAGAAAACGTACTTGTAAAGGTGTCATGTTAGTCCTTTCTGATCCTGCAGTAACCAACTGCTGATGTAGAGCCGGTTGTAGAGACTCGAACGCCGGAGCGCCAGTCAAATTATGTAAGTATCGCACTAGTGCCGAACTGAACGACGCATATAACGCACCCAATTTGGCACCGAAGCAAGTACTGATGGTACCTGTGGGGAGATAACTTCTATTGATACGAGAAAAGTGATACTTAAATAACTCGTAATAAAACACATTTCATAGGTGCTTTATATTGCTTTGTCTGAATTTAAACATACGCCAGAGGACTTAATGTAGAAAAAATGTTTGGGAATTCTGTAATTTAAATTTTTAACATCATATAATAAAGAAAATATATAAGCACTCAGTCGTTATCGCTGATTGGGAAAGGTTGGATTACTTTTAATACTTAAGTTGTGCTGTCGTAAAATATATATATTCATGCTACTAGGATTTAAATATAAAGAATGAGTAATTAATTATTATAAGCATATTTTTAAAAAATTATATTAATACGATTTTTTTTATTAAATTTCTAGACGATTCTGAAACTTTGGATTTTGGAGTCATATCTATATTAAGATATACAATTCATGTCATCGATATCAAATGTTTTTACCTTGTATTTTATCGACAATTGGTTGTAAAACAGTGCATGAAACGTTAATGGACATACCAGTATCAGTACGTGCGGTTTCCCGGTCAAGATCCTTCGCTAATGCAGCGAGAAGCGCTTGATGTGCTTCATGAAGCTGTAGCGACGCTGGCCCGAGACGTTCAGAGCCCTCACTGATGATCTCTTCTGTTAGAAGAGTGAATACTTCTGTCGCGAGCGTAATATACTGCAAATGGATATTTTGTCAAATTCTTGTTGCAAAATAATATTTATGATACCGATAATTTCTTTTGAATCTAGTTCCACTTATACCAAGTTCTATAGTCTTGAAATCGATATTCGATATATTGTTTCTTCGAAAGCCAAGCAGCACTCGACTTTACAAACATCATGTACTTGCTTTTTGTCTAGAATTGGTCAGAGCAATAGTGTTTGATCTGTTCAACATTTGAACAGCCCTACTGCTTTCACTTAGGTGTCGTAGAGTAAGACACAAAATCACGGATTTGAAGGAGAAAATGATTGGTTTTAATCGCTTAAATATTCTGGCACCCAGAACTTATCATTCAAGACAATAGGATTACAAGTAAAAATAACTTAATCTAAAATTTCATTATCCAATATCATAGATCTAAACAAAGTATAAAGCAGTTTCTAAGTACTATTATCGCTTACTGAATAAGGTTCTGATTTGTCCGGCACGATGGCCTGATGTGTTCTAGCTGGCGCGTCGCTCGAGTCTTGCGCATCACTATTAGCGGAGCCGCGTAATAATGCGCCGTTATCCGATGAATCTGGAGCTACTAGAGTCGATTCGAACCACAGTCCAAATAAGGGTTCGCTGTCTGTTAGAATACAAATAAACATTCGTTTATGTATGAGCTAAGTAATGGAGTTTAACTATACAAATATGATTTTTGCGGTTTTTTTTATAAATAGGGTCTTGTACGGGACCCTTGGCCAATTTTTCAATAACAATGAAAAGTGGATGTGTCTAACCGTCATCAGTCTCAGAATCCTCCGAGCACAGTATCATGTCCTGGAAGTAAACGGTAGAATCGGAGCGGTCTGGATCAGCGTCTTGGTGCTGCTTCTGTACCACAGCACGCTTTAGGTTCGTTGCCTTACGATAGCAGACCACGCCCAGAGCTACTAAGAGCTATTAACAAAAAAAATATTTATATGAACAATCAACAAAATCAAACGCCATATATACAAATTACCGATGATCACATTGTCAATATGATGTCTTAAATACAGGTTACTATTCTTCTATTCGTTCAAATAAATTAATTCTGAAATTATCTAAAAAAACAATTTCAGTTATTTTTTTACCTTTATCAGATTTATTTTTCTACAAAAAGTATTATTGGATAATGTAAAAAAAAATAATAATAATCAACATAAATTGTCCCGCAATCATAACATACCGCGACGTGATTTTACATTTCAAACAACAATAAGCACGGGTTGAACTCGCAACAAAGACGTGGACGTTTTATTTATTGAAATGTGACGTCACACCATGCTGCGTTAAGATTGCCCACGTTTCGGTTTTTGGAATCCACAGATTATAAATCGCAAGTCAATTTGCAAAAATATCATAAACTTACAATATATTTAAACAAAAAACATAGTTATTGTTTTCATATAATTAACGATTTCCAACGTATCTCATAACTGATTGTTATAACTGTCAAATAGATCGTTGTACCTGGTGTAGAGGTGCGGCAGCGGCTAGTCTCAGTTCTCGTTGATGCGCGGTATGCTGCGCCAGTATATGTAACGGAGCGGGCGAAGCCGGCATTGTGTCGCCACAACTGAGAGCCTCGAGACGTGCGTCCGCTAGCAACGCGCCCACCCAAGCTAGACACCGTCCACCTAACGCCACCCATACAACGCCTAGACCTTGTTGCCTGGACAACAAAATCACACAATCTCTCACAATGATGTATTAAAAAGTTTAAATGTGTAATCTACACACAATATTGACAACAAGAAAACAAGGCCAGAGTTTCACTTTAGTCACGTTTCAGCAAGTATGTGACATTAGTCACACTAACCCATCCCGGAAGATCGCGGGTTCCATCCCCGGTCGGGTCAATGTAGAAAATGAACTTTTCTATATTGTGTCGGGTCTGGGTGTTGTGGTACCTTCGTTGTCTCAGATACTCCATAATACGGGGGGCTTTAGCTACTCATCTTGGAATATTGAGTTTTAAACAGTTATTTTTAAGTAACTCCTTATAATAAAAAAATAAAATTACTTACATCTTGGTCAAGTTATAAGGTCTGGAAGGTGTTTTTGCAGGACTCTTTCCAGGCGTAGTCGTAGGGCATGGAGCACCGGCCAAAGCATGATGTAACCCACAGAGCAGTACCCATCCACCGATCATTAGGTGGTTTTGATATACCTATTGGACCAAACATAAATACAATATTAACATTTTTTTGTGTTATTTTACCATTACATGAGAATAAAGTATTTGAATAAACTTACGTAACCACCAGCTCGAGTAGACTGTTTGAATATCTCCCCAACAGTATTGTAGAGACTTAGTGCACTTTCCACCAGAGTAGCAGTCTGTTGTTCACTTTCCTCGTCTTTTGGATGAAGAGATGCCTAAGGTAAAAGTATAAATCACCCAATTATTTTTTAATTTAATAAAAAAAAAAATTCACCACAAAAAAAAATAAACGCATTATTTTTTTTTAGTTTAGTGGTACAACAGAATTGATATAGTTCTAATTTTCAGGTTCAAATATGATATTCAGTTTATAATTGTAATAGCTGACAGCCCATGTCACCCATGTATAATGTAGCTTCACATATGTGAAAGAATTTTCATGATCGGACCAGTACTTCCGAAGATTATCCCACAAACAAAGTTAGAAACTCTTTATAATATTAATATAGATTTGTTTGAAAGTACCTGTGCCGTGGCACATAGCAGCCAGGCTGTGCTGATATCACTGAGCGTCGAAATGCGGTCTGGAGTGAAAGGCTCTAGACAAGGCAGCGACAGAGCGAGCCGGCATACGTGCACTTCGTTCACCAGGAAATGGAGACTGTGGGCGGAACATTAAATTAATAGAAAGACCCAACAACTTTTATAAATAAACAAAACATCTTGGACGGAACTCTAACTCATTTCTGTTACCGAGATTAACAACTTAAGATAATTGGTAATTGGTAGTCATTTTCATAAATTTAATTGTCACTTTTTTGGGGAAGTGAAACTATTAATTTTCACTTATTTAGAACGTATAATTACTCTTATTTCAATAGCTGTAAGGTGTAAAATAGAATTCACTATGTGTCTGTCTTACTCACAGCTAGCTGGGACCAGACGCGCGAATCGCACGTGACTTAAATCATTGCGATTGGTCTACACTTGCCGCGGTTCGACCTTATAGCTTAATAGCCTTATATGCTGTACGTTTTACATTAAAAACACTAGGTACTTACAGTGAGGCATCAGAGTTGAACTGCGGCGCCATAACGGTCTCCTTGGCACTATGCCAACGGTTTAGATATCTTTGCAGGCAGGGCAGCGATGAACAAACTTTCAAGATCGTCGAGCCGGCGCGCAGCTCCATCAAAAGTGACGCACAAGTTGTATGCACCCATTTCTGATCAAAAAGTGGGTATGTAATTCTAATTAACAAGAAAAAACAAATCTCATGACCACACTCTATATCCATATAATATTTCAATTCCTATGTCTCATTATCAAGAAGTTATTTTTTTTAACAAGAAAATTTTTCAAAATTTTACTCAGAAATCAACAGAGGTTGAATTTTGTCAATGACTTTTTTAGGGTTGGTACAAATGTAACCCGTTAAACGTCTCACAGCAAGGACTAACTAACACATAATAGATTTGGAAGTTAATTTTTCAATTCGTAGATCAAATACTTTGGGCTGCATGTTTAAAATACTATTAAAACAATTTGATATTTCTACCATTAACATTATTTTGTTTAGTTCCAACCTTCATATCAACAGAAGACTGTTGAGCAGTATTCCCATCTTTAGCACTCTCCAAACTATCTTTGCTCCCGGGAGACAGGACAGCTGTGGGAAGTTGGGCCTGTGACGTCACCGAAGCCACTGGATTCCTCAGTGGTGTAGTCAGTTGTTCTAGCAACGCGTCCGATCGTCGCTGTGCGTTAGATGGTGGCTGCTTCTCAGTACTTGTAGACGTTATAGGTGTTGCTATCACAGGGGTTTTATTAGTTGTTGCCGAGTCTAAAACAAATTATATCACAAAATATTTTACACAATAAATTTCAGCAAAATAATCAAAGATGATAGGATATTTATATTACACAATAATAAATATTCAAAGAGAAATGTTTTGTTTCCTGATGAGTGTTATTGGATGTGTTTGTGGATTGTACTGTCTGGCAGTTATTAGATAAAAGATCTATCTCACCTGTCACATTAACATGTGCGGGTAGTTTTGCATTTTTCAAAAGCGAAGTCAATATTACTAAGTCAGATTGCGGGTAAACACCGCCTTCGATGCCGCATATCCCCACCAAAGGTAGAAGGAGCTAAAAAATTTTATAACACATTTAAAAATTAAATGTATAAAATTAATATATTTAACAAAAATGTTCGACAAATAATCTTAAAACTTATGCATATTTTAGCCAAATACAATTTTTTTATCTTATAGTGTGCAATCAATATAAATACCGCGCCTTGTAGGTTCACTTTTCTGAATGAAATATCTTTCATTCAGATAGAAAAAAGACATAGATATTAACTCACTAATAAAGTCACATTATTATACCTGCTTAACTGAGACATTAGGAGCCGCTGTAGATGAATCCTCGCAACTCAATCCAGCTTCAGATAGTTTTTTAAGTATTTGTTTTATTATTACTCCAAATGCATCCCGAACCATTCCTAGTTGTTCATTGGGTACTAGAATATAATAAAAGATAATTACAAGTTATATGTGATAAATGCCCTTGAGATAAATGTAGTAATGTACATAATTTTAATATTGAAAAGGAGAATGGGCAATTTACTATAAGAGTTCGGCTATTTTTGCGTAACCGTGCATATTGTTGAGACCAACGATAAACGACAGAGAATTAATTCTAGAATGAGTAGACAAAAAACCATTTATAATTATGCCGGAGTTTGAGAATATCTAAATATTTAACAGAGATTTTGAGGTTGTCGTTATAATATTAATATCTACGTATATAAGAGCAATAAAATGAATAATGTATTTCAAACAATCGATGACTAACGGATATTTAATTGCAAAAAAAGTACATATCTATACCTATATTATAAAAAGGAAAGATTGGATTTTCTAAAGGATAAACTCAAAAACGACTGGGCCGATTAAAAAATAATCTTTAACTAATATAATACCTGACTAACATTATCAGAGTTAAAATACTTTATTTTGTAAACATAATAGTAGGAAGTTCCCATGTCAAGTCGATTAATAACTTGAAACTTAGTAGGTAGTAGTAGTAATATTATAGTAGGTAGGTATATACTCACCACTAAAGAAAATATTATAACGAATGTCACTAGCAATCTATATATTTAGGTATTTATCTAATGGAATCTTGTTGTATTTATGTATAACACCGCTTAAACACGCATGTTTCTTCCTCCGTGTAAACTCATGGTTAATTTTCAATTATCAATACCCAAATCGCAGTACCCAATCAAGAGTATCTACTAAACGGCACAATTACAATGTCGATTGGTCGCGATTGCGTTCGAGAGTAAGGGAAGCAAGTATGTAAAATAAAAATTAAACAAACGTATTTATGTACTTGTTTATTGATCATCATTATACAATAATGGAGCATATTTTCATCATATTCTTATGCCTAGACAAATAAACGAAGCCTATTCTTTGGGATTGGTGACGAACGTTAGCTTGGCTGATCGTTGGTTCAGTCTATATGTGCCACATTAAGATGCGCCACCTGGTCTATTGCATTAATTTACCTTCATCATTTTCTATGAATTAGCGTACATACCTTTGTTCATGCTCAAAAGAAAACTGAAGGAAGTCTTATCTTAGATAGTAATGAAACAATTGTTTTTTTCGATACGTAGATTTATTCCTTAGTTTTATATAATCGATATGGAGATCAGCCTTATCGATTAATTGGAAATCAGTCATTTTAATAATTGTTTTAAAACAGTCAATTTTAAACATCGCATAATTTTAAAAAAGTATTTATATAGAATATATATATTATAATTAAAGAGAAGATTTTTGATAAATAAATGCATAGTGCGCAATTTTCGTAATTTTAGCAGATTTCTGCCCATTCTCCTTTGTGATTGTTTATATGATTTAAAATTGATTATCTAAAAAATTACAGTGTAGTATAACCTGACTTTCTATTGACTGTGCTACAAATACAAACTGTATTATCAAGTCCAGGAATTTTGTATTCCTTTAACTTGTACATAAAACATTAAAAGTATTTCTTTGGACTGCATGAATCATGCATAAGCTGTAAGTTCTCAAGTGGCAAAATGTAATCCTGAGTAATGATTATGTTTAGCTAGGATTGAAGATGTTGTACACATTAGAATTTTAAAATTTTTATGTGTACAATATCTTCAATCCTAGCTAAACACAACAACATCTTTTGTTCTATGCCAACAACATATATAAAATTGGTACAGTTCAGTGTGACAGTGTTACCAACAGTTACTTTTGCATTTATAATATTAGTAAGGAAATGGGGATTTTAAGTATACAATAAATGTAGCTGTATCTTATTCCTGTATGGTCTAGTGGGCTGAAAGTTATAAAAATATCATTTTTATAATGTTGTGCAATAAGAAACTGGTTACTAACTTATGAATCATAGTATTTATCATATTGTAAAATATTGTTTTCCACAAATTTTTCAAATAATTACATTCTTTACTTTAGATTTGACTCCTGGATAACCATTTTAACCTTCCTGATTATGGTATAATGTGGTAATTCTGAATGAATATATTCAGATGTATCAATGGAATACATAATTATCAGAAACATGTAAATTGCCAAGAAAAAAAAACTAAAGCTGTTAGAAACGATTTCATAACAGTGTTCCAGGAATAGGCCTCATATAAAAAATTATACATAATATTTTCATTAAAACTTTTAAATGTTTTATCAACAAAAGTTAATAAAAATAGTGACTAAATAAGACAAAAAATAGGCTTTTACTTCCAACTACTTACTTATTTTAATATGAACTCTTATTAGAAAATATCACACCAAATCTACTTACAATTACTGGCATTGATGCTGATAAAATGGGCAGAAAGACAGGCAAAACATGTGTAGAACAAGTCATAAATATCCTCATGAGTTTCGAAGTCATTTTCACTGTGGGAGTGAGAAAAATATGTGAATAATTGAGAGTAATGTAAGGATAAAAACTCACAAATTCATGATACATTTAAAAATTGAGGGTACTTATTAGACTTAAAAATGAAATTACAACAGATTTGGCGACTTTTCTTATAATGTATAATCTGACCGACTACACACTAAACTCCATTTTAATTGCTAGTGCCATTTATTTTAAATTATGAGATATTAATATATGAAAAAAAAAATAACAAAAAATAAAAATAACAAAAATTTGGGAACTGCAATAAAGCACACTTCTTGTGTATGGGTTTCTTTATTACTGCTTACCTTTTGATGATTGCTTGTATAATTTCAACGGCATCATTTTTATCAAAAAATGGACCGTAAAGTGCAGTTAAAATTGGTTTTACTGTTGTTGACCATTCAATATTTCCTCCTGAAGCGGCCATTTCTGGAAGAATAGTGAAAAACGAAATTTTTTATCGAAAGTTGTCTGTCATTTCAAGACAAATGGAACGTCAAAATTATCAAGTGTCATCGATATTATTTAAAGTGCCGTCTACACGGTAGGAGGTCGGGACTCCAACCACCGACAATCTGTAGGTTGGCTACCGTGTGGACAGCTGCTCGACCAACATCAACAGGCATAACCGTAGACTTCGGCAGGCAAGATGGAAACATTTATTTTTAGTCCTTATCAAGTTTTTGTTTGTTTGGCGCAAAGCTTGCTTGGGAAAAATACGTCAAAATTTTACACGTAATCAATTGTCAAATTCATAATTATTCACAGAAGTTGGAAAAAAGTATATTATTAGAGTATTTTATACGTTGTGTACATTTTAGACGTGAGAGACATTATTTATAATTTAAAACAATGGTTATGTGTAGTGTTTTATCGTGTAAAAATAGACTAGAAAAATGCATTGATGGTGTTTCATATCTCAGTCAGTTAGAAGCATTTTGTTTATTTATTCGTTAATATACATATTATCATAATGTGTGAACCTTATGAAATAAGACCGAAATAAGCTAAAAATGTCATTGAATTATGTTTAATAAAAATAAAATATTAGTGGTGTGCGGAATCCATTACCATTAATCGAATTTTAAAATAATTAGTTACTATCGATTATGATTTCCTAATCGAAAATTAACAGTCGATTATTTCTTAAAACGTTAAACCAACTTACTTTACTTTGATGTGTCAGCAAACCTTTGCGGATCGTGAGTGGCAACCCTGGAATACTCGCACGAACAAATAGGTAACTTTACTCTTTGGTCGGGGAACTCCCGATAAATGAATAAACGGATCTTGCAGTTTTATTTTGAAAGATACCTCATTTAGAAGCAATAGAAGGCGAAATTGGCACTGATTGAATTTGCCTGCCAGTGTCTCAAACGCATAGAAGTAGTTTTTATACCAAATCGTAATTTGTGAGAACGTGAATGTTGTTTAGTGCGGGGAATGGATTCACAGAAGTTTTAGGGATAACTCTATTGTGGGGAAATGACAACCGACATACAAACGATTTTTGTGCTTCAGAAAAGAGCAATTAAATCAATTTATAATCTTAGGATTAGGAAATTATTAAGGAAGCAATTTAAGGAAATAGATAATGATGTTGCTTCTCAATACATATACTTAATGTACGTTCGTAAAAATATTAGTTTGTTTTACTATAAAAAGTTTGTACACAATTATAATACGAGAAATATAGACGGTGCCTGTCACTAGACTGCAAAAAGTTAATAAATCATTCAGGGGTCTTTGTGTGCGCTTCTACAATAAGGTCCCAAGCAAAATATAACAATTTGATATAATGCATTTTAAATCTACTATTAAAGCTTATTAAAAGATATCCAATTATATAACAGATAAGGATGCTTGGAATTAGATGGTCCAGCAAATCTCAAAAATTATCTTGTTTCCATTATTATTAAATTATTATGTCATCATTATAAAACTAATCTAGTAATGACATGGTTTTTGTGAATGTCATTACTCTTTTTAGAGCTGGTGAGTTTCTTGCTCGTTCTTTTTCAAAAGTACTTTTAAGAAGTCTATAGTTAAGTTCACATCACATCACCAGCCCTTTTACGTCCCCACTGCAGGGGCTCAGGCCTTCCTTATGAATGGTTAAGGAGGATGGGCCATGACCCTCCACGCTGGCCCAATGCGGATTGGAGGGTATTAACGACTGCAAATGCAGCTGGGACCAACGGCTTAACGTGCCTTCCGAAGCACGGAGTAGCTTGAGATAATAATTTTTTGGCCACCCATCCCGTGAGCGACCCTTGCGAAAGTTGCTTAACGACTGCGATCGCGGGCCGCGGCGCTTATCCACTACGCCACCGAGCTATTCCTAGTTAAGTTAAGTTTAGTCAAAAAATTGATTTAATAAATCGAGCTCAGTAAGAGCGATTTATTGACTAAATCAAATAGACATCGGAATTCCTACTCTTTGCGTGCAACCATGCGTCAATTTACTCTATGGACTTTATTCGATGTTAGATAACGAAATATTGGTATTTCTTTACTTCGATATATGTAGTGATAGATGTCAATATCGGTTTGCCGATATATTATCATATTGCATCCCTTCTTGTTGCATTTTTGGAAACTACTAATGTGTGTTAAGATAGTAAAGCCAAGGCTGTTAAACATAAAAAAATACTTTAATCTTTGCCGCCATATACACTTTACTCTTTGTAAATCCCAATGTCTTGCGGCTTGGCTGCGGCATTTTGATCTAATTATTCATTTCATTTTCATTTTACATGTAAAAATTAATTTATTTACTTGACATTGGCAGAATTGTGCGAAATGCGCAGATAAGCCATTAATTAAAAAAGAAGAAGAAGAAGAACTGACAATACAAATTTCTATAAAGTAGACTTGGCTGTGGCTGTTGAATTTGATTATTTAAGAATATAATTACAAATGACAAGGCTGTATGGGCTAAGCACCCTTTGTCTTCCCTTCCCCTGTAGGAATGGGAAAATTGATAAAAAAAAATTTATGGTTTTGCGGTTTTGCGCTTGTCTTGTTGTTTGACAGCAAAGAGTACAGTAATTTTGACAGTCAATTAAAATAAATATCATTGAATCAGGATTATTTATTTAGATAAATTTTTTTGACAATGTCCGAGGAACAATCTAGGAAACGAAAAATATCAGGGGATAATAATGTATCAGATACATTAGGTAAATAATTGAAGTTTTTTATAACCTATAATATTAAAATTCTGTTTGTTTACACAAGTGCTTTTTTCAGAGCCTGCAGCAAAAGCTTTACACATTCAATGCCCATATTTAGATACTATTAATAGGCATGTGTTAGACTTTGATTTTGAAAAACTTTGTTCAGTCAGTTTAACTAGGATCAATGTGTATGCCTGTCTTGTGTGTGGAAAATATTTCCAGGTGAGCCAGGTTTTTATTTCGACAGTAGTCTTATTGGACAACTTTTCTTGTTCAGTTATTAACAATATTTTTTTATATTGAACCTCGTGGAATGTAAATAAATATTGCTGCCAACCTTTTAGTACATTTTGTAAGAAAAAATATTTATCATTGACAGCCTTCCAAAGTAAGGATTAAGACATTAGTAATTTTTTTGATAACCATTTATATAACAGGTTGTTTAACCATTGAACAGCATTTAATCTCTGTAGTACAGATCAAACACGCAAATTGCTAAAAAAGCTAAAATAATGAAATCTGTTATGATTTTCAGGGCAGAGGAACTAATACACATGCATATACTCACTCTGTAGCTGAGAGCCACCATGTATTTCTTAACTTGCATACTTTAAAGTTTTATTGTTTGCCAGATAATTATGAAGTTATTGGTGAGTGAAAAATTCCAAGGCAGTTGTCTACTGTTACATTATAAACAGAATGTTGCTATAAACATTTTTTAATAGTTTTATTACCTTTTACAATATTTAAAGAAAACTTTGAGACAACATTATTTTGTAAATAAATAAAGAGAATTAGCTTAATATCTGGTTCCAAGACAATATAGACAAAGTTCATTTTATATAATGATTAAACAGATTTTCTTCTTCTACCTTTTTAGATTCTTCTCTGAATGATATTAAGTATGTGCTCAATCCAATCTTCAGTCTGGAGCAAATCAAACAGCTAGATACAAACACAAAGATGTCACGAGCCATTGATGGAACCATGTACATGCCTGGCATTGTTGGACTCAATAACATTAAAGCAAACGACTATTGTAATGTTATCTTACAGGTAAGTATTTACATTCAAATACTGGGGATTCTTTTATTTACTTAGGTTACAGTTACAGGATTTACTTTTCATACAACTGAAATGTTTTGTTTACAGTGCTTATCACAAGTGAGACCACTTCGGAATTATTTTCTTCGTGAGGAAAATTATGCTAATGTGAAAAGGCCACCTGGGGACTCCTCGTTCCTGCTGGTTCAGAGATTTGGTGAATTGCTTCGTAAATTGTGGAATCCACGAGCATTCAAAGCCCATGTGTCACCTCATGAAATGCTGCAAGCAGTGGTTCTATGGTCAAAAAAACGTTTCCAGTTCATAAAACAGAGTAAGATAAATTTTAGTGTGTTTTTAATATAGAATTTTAGTTGTTAAATTCTGATATTTTATATTTTTTCAGGTGATCCCATTGACTTTTTATCCTGGTTTCTAAATTCTTTACATATGGCATTAAATGGGACAAAGAAAGCTAATAGTTCAATAATCTATAAATCATTTCTGGGTCATATGAGAATATATACAAGGTAATAATTATTATTTACAACTGTTGGGTGAAATGTTTTAAAAATCTAGTAATTGATTGTTTTCTTTTAGAAAATTACCACCACCAGATGCAGATGATGCTGCAAAAGTAGATTTAAACAGTGAAGAATACAGTGAAATGATCACTGAATCACCATTTTTGTATCTGACTTGTGACTTACCACCAACACCACTCTTTACTGATGAATTTAGAGAGAATATAATTCCTCAGGTAATGTTTCTTTGCAACATTATAGTAACTGAATTTGAAATATGCAGTTAAACATTATTGTACAAATTCCAGGTAAATCTCTATCAACTACTGTCAAAGTTTAATGGACAAAGTTCTAAGGAATATAAAACTTATAAAGAGAACTTTCTGAAGAGATTTGAAATCACTCAGTTACCACCTTATTTGATTTTATATATAAAAAGGTTTACGAAGAATACATTTTTTGTTGAAAAGAACCCTACTGTTGTTAATTTCCCAGTCAAGTAAGTAGACATTATTTATAAATAAAACATTTGTATAAAATATTTCAATGTTGTGTTTTCTATTATTTTCAGAAATGTTGATTTTGGGGATATTTTGACAGCAGAAATAAAGGCAAAGCATAAAGGGAGGACAACTTACGAGTTAGTTGGGAACATCGTACACGATGGCACTCCAGAGAAGGGTACATACAGAGCACATGTATTGCACAAACCAACACAACAGTGGTAAACAAATAAATCTTATACTCCATATAATATGCACTGTTTATGAAGTAATTTCATGGATTTATTGGTTTCCAGGTATGAAATGCAAGATCTTCATGTAACAAGTATACTACCACAAATGATCACGCTTACAGAAGCATATATCCAAATATATGAACTAAATCAAGATTGATTCACTATGTTTAGAATTATAATTAAAACTAGGAAATACTGCCATTATTGCCTTTTATTTATTGAATATACAAATTTCATACCAGGATTTCATTTCACAAACTGGCCTTTGGAATGGACCTTTATGCTTATAAATATAAGTAAATAATAATAAAATTACACATAGGTATAAAAGATGTGAATAATTCAACATACAAATACATATTTTTATACTATTTGACACAGTTTGGAAAATGTTAAGAAATTCCATATCGTCTTTATAAAATAAAATGCTGTGTGATCTCCAGCTTCACAATATATTTGTACTTAATAGTCTCATACGCTCATAAATATATCCTGTAGCACCACAAAGTTATGTTTCTTTATGCTTTCTATGTTTAAAGATGTACTAAAGTTTATATTTGCAAGTGCATGTCTCTTAAGTTTCTTTTACTGCTGGTGTTATTGTAATTGCCAAGGCAGAACAGTCTAGTTAGTAAAATGGTACAAGCCAATTAGTGGCTTTCTCCTTTCTTTCCTGCAACACGCTTAAATTCTCCCATGTTGGTTGTAGATATTGGAGAACCGTAGAATGCCAGATGATTAATCTGTGTTACTTCCCCGCCCGACTGGTTGTCCTTAATGAACAGTTGAATGTTTTGCACATTTTGGAATTTCACATACCTCAGTTGTACAGGATTGCCCTCCAAGTCACTTGGAGTGAACCTGAAAAAAATAATAAGCAGTGCCATGCCTTAATGCCTTAATAGAACTTAGGTATTTAACTTAGGAACTTAGGTATATTTCTGTTGAAAAGAATTATTTTATTAAATTTTTAGATAGATAATTTCATGTCAAAAAATTCTTTCATGAAAATCAGTTTCTTTTAATCCCTGCATAAGTGGCAGTCCCATTAGCAACCCACAATTTGTCATAGATTAGACTTTTAATAGTATTTGAGAAGTTTTCCATAGAAATAATTGAGAGGTCAAGTTAATTCAGAAATTACAAAAAATATGCAGCAACTAAAATATTAAATGTGAAATTATTTAATTCTAATATAACAAAAAAATTCAACTGACTCCAAATCTTGCACAGATGTGTTCCCAGATGCTTGGTCAAAGTCTAGTGTTCTTGGCTGATTGATGAATAGTTTCACAGTTTTAGGTCCTTTATCAGCAGGCCCCTTGATTTTTAAAGAGTGCAGTTTTACCAACTGTAAAAACAAGTAGAAGATTGTAATAGCATAATTGTTTTCTTTACTAATAGCCTACAGATGTCACATTAACAATGGTTTAGTTCTGATAAATGTTTTTTGCAATTAAAATATTACCTGATTGAAGGCAATATTAATGATGAGTTGTTCATCGCAGTCACTAGCAAGATACCCTCCCCCACTGGTGAGAGCTTGGGCCAATGGGTGGTTATCAGCTTCATTCAGGCATTCACACTCGCTTTTAGTAATAAACGTCATCAAATCCATCTGAAAAGTAAAAATAATATTGTGTTTCAGTAAATAGTGTCTCAAAAAGGAAACCTAAAGTTCCTTACTGATAAGCAAAGTAACTTCTAATAAGTTTGAAACTCACATGACCAGCAACAGCACCGTCCTCTTCACCTGCATCATCAGAACCATAATATTGTCTAACTTTATTTTCTAGAGATGTTGGGTCTGCGCCCTGTAGTCTATCAATTTTCGTCTAAAATAAGAGTTAAATAAAATATTACCCATACAGCCAATTGTATAACCATGAATTAAAATTGTTATTAGTTTAAACTGACATTACCCATACAAATTTGACATACATTAGAGATTAAAGGCGTCATTAAACCCTAATGGATGTTTAAGCAACTTACCAGCAGTCCAATAAGAGTGGTTATAATCCAGTAAGAAAGTAGTTATAACTACAATAATGTATTTACAATATATAAGATACCGAGTTTATAAATGAGGCTTACTCTGTTTCTGTAAAATACGAAGGTAGGCATAGCACTTATGCCTTGGGCACTAGCGGTCTCAGCGCATCTATCCACATCAACTTTCAGAAAAACTGCTCTCGGGAACTTCGCTGGTAATTGTTCGAAAATCGGTGCAATTCGTTGGCATGGCCCACACCTAAAGAAGCAATCTTAAATAAGTACCTTTAAAAACTTTAACGATGACTCGATAGTTTTGTTCAAAATAGGTTATAGTTACCAAGATGCTGTGAAGTCCACGACCACAAGCTTTGTTCCAGCATTAGCCATTTCAGATTGGAAATGTGCTTCATTTTCAATTACTGTCGCTAATCCCATAGTTTCTATAAAATAATTAAAAACTTAAAAATGACAACAACCGAGAACGATACTTCAAAATGGTCGAGTCAGAGTCGGTCAAAGAGTAAATTCCCATTCGACAGAAAATGCCAATAATTCACTAGTTCGTGAACTTTGCTCTATGAATCTGTTTTAGTGATGCGACTCGAGTCTGTTTTTAATCTATACTCCATTCATTATAACATTAGAAAAAAGAGAGTCAAAGAAGCAGCAGTGCAGAAAATTTTACTTTCAAGATAAATTTAAAAAATGTATATTATAGTTTTGTTGAAACTTTGAACGTTAGGTAGTCTGAAAGAGCTGGGCAATTTTACATTTTTTACGATACCTCGGGGTTAAGATGAGGCCAGCATTTTCTTAATTCATCTTTTACTCTCAAGCCAACATGGAACTATAACTATCTATCTGTTGTTTTCATAAATTATAATTGTAAAATGTATATAATTAGAATAGAAATTAGTTATATCTTTGCCCAGGAAAGAATGGTAAATAAAATGAAATTGTTATTATTACTTTTATAACATTTATTCAGACATTAGTTAGACTATTGATGAAGACATTGGAAAAACTTCCTGAAATGTCAAAGGTTGAGGGCAGGTAAGGGGGCTTAGAGCGTAATTGTTGTAGGTCACTAAGCCCTGCACCGACATCGGTTATATTTAACAAAACTTAACTTAACAACAAAACAAAACTATAACAAAACAAAAATAAAACAATAACAACTTAATCACGGAAAACGGCAAAACAACAAGAAAGGCAGTAGCATTCACAAAGGACGAGAATCCCAGATTACGTATTTTAACAATTATGAATACATCATAGTCTGACAAAATTAAAAAACTGTACTGCCGAAACGTTTGATGGGATTACGAAACATTTTTAATTTGGTAGAGTTATAGTGTTATGAGAATCGTGCCGCAACTATCCAACCCTGCTTCTTTAGGTTCTTTAAGATGCACACTTTTTATTGTAATAGTTATTTAATCATTTAAGTTAGTCAAATTCTCATAAATTTGTTTAATAGATAGCTTAAATGACAACAGTTAAATATAGCAGCTGGTATTTAAGTGGATTTGTAGCAAATTAGTCGTTAGTCTTAAGAGTAATATGATTATTGATATTTTGTCCCAAAATATATCATAAAAAGAACCTTATTTAACTTCTGTCTAATGTTATAATTATTGGAGTATAGTTAGGTACTCAAGATAATAGGGTATTTGACAATATTAAAAATAAGCTGCGTATTATGGTCCTCCTGTTAGATAATAATGTAATAAAGTTTATTTCTTAGGATCTGCAGATAAAATATGTTCAGCTTTAGTAAAATAACATAAAGAAAATGCAACATTTTTAGGAATATTAATGAACGACGGAAACGCCCTGTAGTTGGTTATCGTCGCAACCTATAACAGGTTCTGTTTACCGTTATGTGACGTCATACGTAAACCGGAAGCTATCATTTCAAAACAGTGTTATTAGAGATACGCAAAGTTTGTATTTATACATACAATTTGTAGCTCACTTTTATAAACAAAACCAGAGTAGATTACAAATAAAAAACATAAAATTTAACTTCAATTTCTCATCTGTAATACCATTTGTTTACTTCGTAAATAAATAGTTAATAAATAGGTTTTGTTGCCTTGACATATTCACCGCCATGTGACGTCACAAATACCACGTGATCAGCGCCATTATATGTAATGGCGCTGATTTATTATATTTTCATCAAAAATAGAATAGATTCTCATGAAACATACTGAGAGTGTTTTTATAATGTATCAAATAGTTTTCAGAAAAGCATCAAATACCCTATTTGAATATGAAACTCTTACTTGAGTGAAAAAATATCACTCGAGTCAATTGGCACTGGAGTTATCGAGTCAATTCGACGTATCAAGATGATTCTCTTGTCACTAGATGACATTTCGCCGCTTTAATGAAGAAGTATTAAAAAAAAACATTAGTTGTCGAAATCAAACTAGATGTCGTTAAGGTACTTTATTATTGATTAGAGAATGCAATCTCGTGAGAATGGGATTCGAGCGAGATCTCGCGAGTTTATGAATATCAATAGCGCGAGATCTCGCCAATTACGAGTTCTCTCGAGATTGGCACTTTTGTGTGTTTACTGTTATATTTATACAAATCACAATATTTGAATAAATTAGGAGAAAAATACAGGAATTACAGGTATTATGAAATGAACATTTATTTATACGGGTATTTTGAATAAAGTTTTATGTATTTATTATTGTTGACGCAATTATATTTTTTTATCTAAAACTTTTAAAAGAGCATTTACTGTATTATAATCTCGGAAACGACTCCAATAATCTTCATAACATTAAGTATGCAGGGGCTTTCAGAGGTAATAAATCGGTTTAGTTAGGTATAATTTTTTTATTAAAAAAAATGCCAAGAAAAGCTTAGTCGTCCAGGTACTAATATTTTTAGAGACTAAACTTTGACGTATCTAATAAAATACGAAATGAAATAAACAACCAGTCTTCTCTGCTAATATCAAAGAAAAGTACAGTTTTCTATAACAAAAATACAAAAACTAAAATTATACTTATTAACTAAGTTGAATTGACTATTAAACTCAGATTATTATCAATGAAAGAAAACTATGTGTACCCAGAGATCTGTTAGAAATTACAGAATAAATTAACAAAATATAGTTAATTCATAAAAAGTAAGTCACAAAATCCTATTCGAGTCGCATCACTAATCTGTGTACTGTCATGAATATAATAAACCCATGGACTTAGTACTATATAACAGGACAGAGTACTCCCAGCTGAAAAGCGAGACATGCGAGATATTAAGTACAGAGGCTATTTATTTTCTTCGTAAATTAATAGTTGTTATACACCTTAATTTTTAAAATAGATTTCCAATAATTTGAATTTTGACAGTTGTTTTAACCTCAAAACTTTATAATAAATAACGAATCTTCCTGGCCTGCAGACTAAAAGATGATAAGATATTATTTTATTTTAAGCAATAAGTTATTTAAATTATCATTAATGGTGGGTAGACGTGATCTTAAAAAAACATGGGATAGGTCAATCTATGTATGGAAAGTAGAGATGATTCTTTTGATTGACTAAGGGAATGCTGCATGGGTTTAGTACCCTTTGTCTTCCGTTTCTTTGGGGATGAGTAAATTGATGGTAAATCACATCAACAAAATCGCGCGATTTTTTAAAAGAGCACCGAGATTTGACTTATGTGTATATAAAAAAAAAATTGAATATTGTATTTGGTCAATTTTACATTCACATTGCTATACCGATAATATTCTTAATGAAAAATGCTGAAAAATCCACTTTGTCGTCGGCACTCTGAGATGGGACCACTGAGTTACTCAGGACCGCATTTTTCAAGCACTTATTACTTTTTCGCTACTACAGAGCGTATTTTCATCCATGTTCAGGCAATCCACCCAAACAGCCTATTTGGTCAATTTTGCTTTCACAATTTCTCGTGCCTTCTGCACACCCCGAGCGCAGGCCCTACTGCTTTTGTTTTTTTTCAAAACATTAAAACAGTAGGACTTGACTCACTATCAACTTGAGTCGGTGGATACCATACGGTGGCAACTAAGCCGGCTGAGCGATCCCTGTGCGCTCGCTAAGGCCCCTCAGGCTGACCCGATCCCAGAGCACTTGGGCCTTGTCCCAAGGGTGAAGATTTGCCGCTAACTCCATTAGGGATAGCCGCATCTTTCCGCGTCCCCCTTCCCCCCTCGCTTCGGCGCGGGGTCGGTCTTTTACACACTCTATCTCCCTCTAACCTACCAAGGTAGGTGTGACGGAGATAAGGGCGAGTGAAATACATCTACTCCTCTCTCTCATTTGCATTTAACGGCTTGCATTGCCGACATGTCCGATCTGCTCAATAGAGAATTCTCCCTCGAGGAACTTCAACGTATCCTACCCGATCACCTCTTCCAAGTCATCCTCAGCGCGAAGATGGCCCAATCCCAGGCATCTGCGCCCCCATCAACCTCCGTCATGGAGTGCGAAAGCACATCCATAAAGAGGACCGCTTCACAGCGATCCCCCCCCCCCAGCCCCCCCCTCACCGTCGGACGACTACCTTCTCAGGACGTCTGATTCCGACGAATCCTCAAGTTCGTTTCATACGGTTAGAAGCCGCAAGAAGCGCAAGCAAGTGCGGACGCTTCTAAGCCCCGCAAATCGGGCGGGGTGTCCTCGGTAAGCAATACCGCCGAGAAAACCTCCCTCGGCCCAAACCTTACCATAGGCAACACCGACAAGAAAGCCACTCGGGAGAATACTCCTAGTATTACTCCCTCCCTCACCCCGCTGCGGCCGCATAATAAATGCGCTCCGCAGCCGGGTAAACCCAAACCTCCGCCTCCCGTATTTATACGGGACAAATCAAGGTGGGCAGAGGTCTCGAATCTCTGCACACAAAACAAGATAAACTACACCCATGCCAAAAACATGGGTATAGCTATCCGGGTGGAAACACCCACTAGTGAGGACTATAGAGCCCTCACTAGACTCCTAACCCACCACAAGGTGGGTTATCATACCTACGCTCTCCCAGAGGAGCGCAAAGTTCGTGCGGTTCTAAGAAATGTTCCGTACGAGCTCGCCACCGATCTGATCCATAAGGATCTAAATGAACAGGGATTCCCTGTAGAATCCGTTCATAAGATGCACAGTAGAGCCGGCAGGCCTTTCCCTCTGGCTCTACTCATCATTACAAATGTCCCCAAACGCTCGTGACATTTTCAAGGCTAAAGACTTTAGGGTCTGCGGCCTTACCGGGGTTAAAGTAGAACTCCCTCACCGACGCGGTACCCCGGGACAGTGCCACCGATGCCAGCTTTACGGGCATGCGGCGGTCAACAAAGCGCCTAAAGCCCCCCCCCCCCCCCCCCTCGCCCACTGCGGCGAACTTCCCCGCCTTACCAAAGGCGAACCACTCCGCCCAAAAACCGGCTTCACAACCGATATGCCCCCTCCCAACCCTCCCCTCCCTCCCAGACGAAACCTTCAGGCTT